ATCCGGATACGTTGGCCACGCCGCGGATGACAGCACACTCACGTTCAGATCCAGAGCCGGACGGTCTCGCCGCTCGCGCTGTACTGCATTGTACGACGCCATCTCGTCCCGCGCTATGTCCATATCTCTAAACATGGACTCCAAGTTGTGGGTGAAGCTGGATCCACATTCTGACAGACCCCAGTGGTCAGCACATCAAGGACCCGGGCGCCCCAGGGAAGGAGACTTACCTGTCTTCAAACGGGCTAGCATGCTCTTCTCTGCATCGTCGCTGGCGCTTCGACCCATGAGCAGGCGGCGTGCAAGGTCGTTCTTGTAGAATGCCTCGAAAACCGCTTTTCCGTGCACGAATCGGAACAGATCCAGCACTTTATCCAGCTGTTTGTTGATCTCCGTGTCCTCATCCGCCAACGTTTCATCGTCGGCCTTCTTTCCAATGACTTTCAGACCGCCTTTGAGCAGCATATCCACGTACTTAGCAATCATTTCACCAGTCCTGGGGTTGTCCGTGCCCCAGGTGGCTTCGGACTTTCTGCCTTTGTTCATAAAGGTCTCAAACGCTTCGCGAAGAGCATGGCCCAGCGTTTCGTCCTTGTGAAATGATCCTTCCCACGTGTCGTTGAGTTGTTTCTTGAAATCCAACAGACGAACCACCATCTCGCTCTCCCTCTTGTCGTCAAAGACGATGTCGGTGCCTACCTCGTCGATGTACTTGGTGAACGCGGTCTTCAGCTTCGAGCCAAATTTAATGCGCTCCAGTAATGAATAGAGCCGTTCTAGAGCATGCTGGTCGGCTGTCTGCATGAGTCCTATAACATCCTTCTCATTTAGAAGCACGCTTTCTTGCTTTCGAACCAGATTATCGTCCAGAAGTGTCGATAATTTCTGCTGTGTGCTCCGGTTGAGAGAATAGAGCTCGCATCTGTTCAACTCTCGCTCGATTAGGCGGTGGCTGTTTTCGGCGTACGTAGCGATGTATTGACTCTCCGCCTCTCTGTCGGCCCATGAAGAGAAGAACTTCCTTGAATCCTCAACTAGACGAGGTTCAAAATCGCTCGTGTAGACACCTAGATCGTGGAACAAAGTAATCGCCCTTTTCAGGAGGGTGGAATCAGCGACCAAACCACTTTCCCTGTCTTCCCGGTCGGCTTCAATTAGGTCGCATGCGCCCTGGAGGATCTTCGATTTCAACGCCGGATCAGAGAAAATGTGCGATCGGAATTGAATTAACCCCATCTCATTGATGACCGGGAACTCCTTGGAATGCAGCAGAAACGATTGATCCAGATAATAAAAGATCCATCGGATCGTCACCTGTGCGGCAATAAAACCATTAGCGCTCCAGTAGAATCAATCGACAATTACAGTACCACACACCAGCTTTGAGTTCCACGTTGTCCAAGCATCGACTACGGCCCGCAACGTATCGACGTTCTTTCCATCCTCTGCTCGGGCCACCAGGCTTTCCCGGAGATCGCGGGACACATATTCCTTACACTTGTCCTGCAATTTCCTTGCGAGCATCGCTGCTCGCCCCTGGCGACAAACATTCTCCGCTCCTTTGTATAGTTCTTCCAAAGAGGCTGCCGGCTTCCCGCGATCGAAGATAGCCACCAGTGCTGCGTCCAGCTGGCCCCAGACTTTGTCGAAGTACGCGTCTTGATTCAGCTTAGGCCCTGAACGAAGGTTCTTGACCACAAGCTTCTTCGCTCCCGTGTGCGGCGTGAAGTTGCTCGGTCGCGGGGAGGCGCCGTAGCCTGGGGCTTTCTGCCCCAAACCACCGTTCGCTTTGGGCTCTGAACTCGAGAAATTGTACATCTTGTTGGAGGAGATAAGGCTATCCTGGCCGCCGTTCGAAAGCGGAGGGTCTGAGGAGGGAGACGACGCTCGAAACCGTTTGGCACTCGTCGGCGATGACGGAAGCTGCTGGTCGCTGGCGTGAGACGTGCTGCTGCTGTTGCCCTTGGACAAAAGCTCTGAGATGGTTCTCTGCTGTGGCTCCTCGCGCTCGTGGTCGGAGAGTTTCCTCTTTCCGAGAGACTTGCGCTTGCCGCCCTGCATCTACCTATCTCTGTATCTCCGGCGGGAGATACGAAGGGTGTTGAGAAAGAGAACGAATCTCAGTGGCCAGTTTCGGTAGCGACCCCACAGCGAAAAGTTTCAGAGCATGGCAGGGTCATCCGATCTCCTGCTGAATGCCGCGCCAAAGGAATGACGAAGAGGACGATGCGAAATGGCGGCAAAGGCGACAGCGGTGGATGAGAGCAATGCGTGAGAAGGAAGAGGAGCCGAGAGCAGCAGCTGGCAGCTGGAGGAGTTACGTGATGCGGAGATAAGATAATACACCCGGTTGGCACTTGGCGCCTGACAGTCAATTTTCCCCACATGAATCATTACTGCTGAAGAAAGGACTCGTCAATTTCAATGCGAAGACCGTAATTTTGTGTCCAGCATTCAGTAATTCTCGGAACTTAGTACCTCGCCGTCCATTACAGTAAAATAATCTGGATACAGATGCGATCTTTAGATCCATCATCTAGCAGAATCATCCACATGCTTGAGACCTCTAGAAAGATCTAGTGATCTAGTCCTTGGAAATAGACAAAAGAAACGAAGCAAACTATCCAAAGTGCTATGCAAAACGCCATATAATGATTTTTGGTATCGCCGTTATGCCTATTCAATGCCCTAAGGTCCTAATGCCCCTTAACACCCGCGACAAACCGTATGATCATCCAATCGATTATTCTAGGAAAATACTCTAGGCCTGGAACTTTGCCTCAACTCATTATCCTCGAACTGCGAAGGTCAGCACTGGCAGACGCATGGAGATGGCTCAAGTTCGGCTCACCTCGACAAATCCAGTAGCGCTAATAAGGGCCACGTATGACTTGACCAGATCGTTCAGCGTCTCGTGGCAGTCAGCGGCAGCAGCTCCGCCGATTCGGGCGTGACGCTTGAAAACCCCGACCATGCTCTGGCGATTTTCAGCAAGGAAAGCTCGTGTCTGTTCCATCATTTGTTCATTATGGACTCCCCGGGCGAAGACGGCGGAAACAATGACTCGGAGCATTGAGAGGAGTAGCTGATAGTAATTCCGAAGAGCATCGGGGTTGTCCATATCTATACATTGTCAGCGTGTCAACGCAAAAATGAGAAGTGATGAGTGTCAAACCTATTCCAATATCAGGATCAGCAGCGAACAGTCGTGACTCTCGCACTGCGGCAAACAAGCCGGCATTGAGAACATGCGCCGCTCCGACTTTGGTTTGACAGAGTTGTTGGAGCAAGGACAGCAGGGCTTCGTAATAGGACAGCAGCAAAGGAATGTCTAGGTGCAATTTCGTTAGCTGTATTCACGTATTCAGATGAAGACGGAGCTGACTCACCACTAGCCTGAGCATTACGGAATTCCGACGGCAACGCCTTGATAGCGTCGAGGAACATGCTCAGATAGTTAGATTGAGAGATGGCATCTGCCAGCAAGACAGAGTTTTCTCGAGAATCCAGAGCCGCCAGCAGATTGAGGAGCAGAAGCGCAGACACCCTACACGTTTCCTGGCCTGCGTATGCGTCATCACACACTGCCTCCACGAGTGTAGCACCAGCAGTCTTAACAGTCTGCTGGCTATGCCGTCGGAGATCCTTATGAGTTGAGCCCGGGGACGTGATACGCGAGAGATAATGAGAGCAAATGTTGTAAAAAGACTCCCGGAGAACCACGTTTCCAACTGCCAGAGAGATGCCTCTGATGCTGACCTGGAACAGCTGATACAACTTCTCATCGATTACATCCCCGCCTCTGTTAGAGTGATCTGCCCCTGTGGAAGGCTCAAGTTTGCTGATCAAAGTCTCAGCAAGTCGGGCCAACTCAATCGCTTCAGGGACGTTATCGACGGTAGAAACCTCGAGTTTCGGAAGAATCAGCTGGATGGCTTGAAGAATAAAGGTTGTTCGGCGCCCGCCTTCCATGTCACAGGAGACAATCATGGCTGTAGCAAGCTCCGTCCAAGATCGAATCGCCAAGTAGCGATTGTATCTAATCTGCCGTTTCTGATTTGTCACACGGAGAAACGCGAGAACATGTTCAACTTCAGTTTGCAGCTGTTCTTCATCCTGTGTTCGCAACTGGCCACTCTGGACCAACTCTTTCCGCTTTAGCTGAATTAGTTCCTGGGCTGCATCGAGATCGTATAGGACCAGGGAATCATCAGCTTGAGGTTTGGCACATAGTTCGAAATCGATGCCGGTAAGAATGTTCAGTTCGGGAGGGCTGAAGTCTTCCAGTACGTCCAAGTCTGCAAAATCAAAGAGGTCAAAAACGGTCGGATTGAGAATGGTCTCGCCAGGTTCAACTGTAGACGACCCCAGCAATGTCGATAAGATGTCTCGCTGGAGTGTTCGTGAGCCAAGCTTGGCGGCAGAACGAATCTCCGTTACGGCATAGTCGAAGAGATGGCTCCGATAGACAAGGAATTCTGACAGCGCGGTCGCCGAGTCTGTCAGCCAAAATTCGGGGGTCGAAGTTGGTAGATTATCCCACAGGGTGTTAGGTCGGAGAACAGGCTGGCTAGCGAACGAAGTCATGAGGAACCGATTCATGCGGAGTTCTATGAGGGTGAAGGAGGATGACAGCTTGGAAGACCAGAGGTGTCTAAGAACTTCGAAAGCCATCCGCTTGGCATGGACAGTCCACGACGTGATACTCCCGTCGATCTCCGTGGGATAAATCTGCATAAAGTTGATGATGGCATGTAGCAAGGACATCCCGCTTGCGAACAAACCGTTCGGAGAGACGTCTAGTACATTACCAATGCACGAAAATCCGAGGAGAAGATGAGCAACAGTGGGGCGGTCGGTGATCATATCAAGGCAACTGTTCAGCAGACCGAGCAGGCCCTCTCTGATGAGATATCCCGAGGACGTTGGGCCATACTCTATCTCTCTTAGGTCAGGTCTCATCTGAGAGACGAGAGGGCGTGCCACGCTGTCCGCGTCGATTTCCGTGCTCAAGACTTCTACAATCTTGTTCGGAGACCTCCAAGTCAACAAATCAGACGCCGACGTTTTGTTCAGTTTCCTTGAGCTAGACAGCTTCTCTAAGAGGGCCATTGACACGACAGTGAGCTGCTGGTGACCGGTACCGCAATAAAGACACAAATCCGGAATAAGGGAAAGATTATTCAAGATGCTGTCTTCGAAGGAGGCAAGCGCAGAATTTGCAACATTAGTTTTGCTCGGGGCTGCCTGAGTTCTTATCAACGGACGAACAATGTTTAGATAGGTCGACTGAAGATCCAAAACCAGATTCATCACCTCGATACTCCTGACCAGTGAGAGGATGAGAACAGATTCGGATGAGGCTTTTGCGACTTCAGATATGTCCTGGTGTGATGCCACGAAGAGGGTCTTGATAACGTCCTCATTGAAGAGCCACTCGAAAACGCGAGCAAAAGGATGAAGACGGATATAGGTGTTTAGTGATGAGGAATTGATGCTGGAATCCGAGTTTGCAGAAGGCTGATGGGCAATGACAACAAGATTTTCGTTGAAGGTTGCCAGGCACGTCGCGACAAAGCTCAAGCAATTCAAGGCGAGCAAGCGACCTTGTGACTCTGTGACATCTGGCACCTTTCTTGCGAAAGCATGTCCTAAGATGAAATCGATGTAGGGTTCGATGCCTGGCATTCGATAGGACGCCCCTAGCGACTCCGGGAAGGGCAAAGCAAGTTGTTGGTCAGGTAGATCAGAACTCGGGGAGACCAAGGCGTGGATCAATTCGACGAAAGCATTTGTTTGATCGAAACTTTCGCCAATCTTCTGGAACGCATGCCGTTCATGCCATGCAGGTTGGTTTGACAGCATTGGCGCTTTGGCAAGACCCGGAGCATTCACAGCAGCGCCTGAAATCCATTGATCGATCGACAGCCACATTTCGTTCCCGTGGGCAGATGATCGATCGGTCATCAGGGCCTTGAGAGTACCGAATGCGCTTGCTCTCAGGTGCGTAGGGATCGAGCCGCTGCAGAGTGTCAATAGCGTGCCAACCACGTTGAACGTGGGATGATGTAGCATCCAGTCCCTGATAGAACCGCTTTGCTTGGACAAGTGTCCCATTAGCCGAAGATAACAAGTTAGCATCACTGGACTCTCTGGTTCGTTCATGTCGGCTGTCTCAGACTTCCGGGTATGGAGAATCGTCTGGGACGTTGACGGCTTTTCCGTAACCTTGGATGCATACAGTTGGAGTTCTGCAAACATCTGAGTCCAGTTCATGGATGTCGACCTCCTGAACTTGACCGACATGTGTTTATCTTCCTCCAGGAGAAATCTATGAGCCGCAGTAGCATTGTCCTCTCCTTCTGATATAGAACACAACATTTCACAGAAGGCACTGACCCGCGGAACGGTCTGGCGCTTGGATGCCCACTGAAGGAAGCCGTACAAATTCCCATCGTGATCGGCCCAAAATTCCTGAGCAGCGTCGTGTCTGTTCTCAAATGCGAACGCCATGATCACGAGAAATGATTCGAGGTGAGTGCGAGCCTCCACTATGCCACGATGCGGATTCGAGTTCAGCCCGTCCCTAAGAGCAGTGATTTGGTTCAGTCTCTGAAGATCTTCCTCAGACTTGAGCATCCGAACAGCGTCAGGCATGTTGGCAATGCATGATTCGGTGAAGACATCAAAATGTTCCATCAGGAGAGTTTTCAGGAATCCAGAGGCGGGCTCCGCTTCCAGCATTGCTGCCGGACTCTCTTTCAACAAAAGTGTTACCAGCTCGTTTCTAGCTGGATTTCGCCATTCGTCGCTATTGATCCCAGCGCAAATAGCGAGCATGAACTCGAGAGCCCCATCATCCAGGGCAGTCATGAACATCTTCGTACGCTCCTCTGCCTCTTTTTCAAGATCCACTCCCTGCAAGGGAGAAGTTGGCCCAGAGTCAAAGTACCACCCGCTGTATACTGCTAGCCACCATGCAATTACGGCTGCATGGAATGGACCCAATACCCACGCGTTGTTATCTTTAGAAGAAGTAATGACTGAATGAAGACTCCGCGCTTCCCGTTGAGAACCGGAACCTTCTGGAGAGCCGTACTGAACGAGCGCAGCAATAATCGCAGGTATGTAGTGAACTAGTAGCATATCGAATCGCTCCAACTTCCGCATCCGATCCATGAGCAATCGAAGATCCTCGGAAGTTGTGAAATTTCCTTTGAAGAGGTAGCACAGGATGACACCAAGGGACTCGTGCTGTTGCCCTAAGCTGGTACGCTGGTACTCTAACGCCTCCATGATATCCATATCTTCTGTTTGACCGACAATTGAGGCTTTTTGCACCTGTTCAGCAAGGAGCGACAGCCATTTCTCTATATCCTCCATTGAGCTCAAACATTTCCTTGCAAATAATGACGCATTTCGAAACGTCCCACTCTTTGTCTCCAGAATATGGGCCACTGTGTTCTGCATCAGCTCTTGGATGTCCTCCCTCTCCACGTTGAAGGACTCGAGAAAGATAAGACGCAAGCATTCAAGCAGGAAGTGCCTGCGCTCATGAAACTGCATGACGGCTGTTATGACTGGTGGCCGATCCAGCTGTCGCGCCTCCTCTTGAGCAGCCATAAACAACGCCGCTGCTTCCAGTTCATCGAGGTTGAGGGCATCCGCGATTTGCAATGCACCCTGCTGAAATTCGGTATTAATCGCATAGTCGACGTCTCCGATCTTTATCTTTCCTGAAAGGACACTCCTGTCAGCAGGAACAAATTGCAAAGTTAAATACAGGGATAGATTTTATATGAAAATCTCACCCGAGAGCACAGCTTGACGGCTTGTGTTGTTCTTGGGAGCCTTGTCAAGGAGTTTGCGGAAGTCCTGCAGGTGCGCTTCTAGCTCGATGCAAAGACGCTCAATGTTGGGTATAGACGACTCCGAGATGGTGGACAAGTCCTGGTAGAGACCACGGAGGCCTCCTAGACTATCGATGTCATCCATTTTCAGCGTTGTTGGCAGCTGAATTGGACGACGTGGGGAAAGGAAGCCTGGCGGCTTTCACAGCTTTGTTGACGCGGGCAAAAAAATGGCAGAACGGAGAACGCGATGTTCAACTCCGCCCGAGCTCCCGCTTAGCGGCGCAAGGCTGGCCGACCTGCTTGAACCCAACCAGCAGTGACACAGAACATCACCTTCACAACAAAACTGCTGGCGCTCTAGCAAGCTTCATTGCATTGTGATGAGCTCTGCCACTTCGTCCTCGCAGCAGCAGTGAAGGGTTATCTCCGCCTTTGGGACGCCAGCCGTTTCGAGAGATGCGTGAGCTGCCGAGAGATCGTATGCGCTGAGGTCTCCGAGCTCGAAATGCTCAGTTGGACTGTGGTCTGGGTGGCAGAGAACCATGGGCCAAGTGACGGTGAACGAAGCGATTGCGCTCTTGTCCTCTGACAAGCTGAAAGAGCGCACTGAAGGATTGGAGAGTATGAAACGCCCTCTTGAGTTACTCATATCATTATCTAACCATACCAGATTTGAAGCACATTCTCCAGCAGAACAAGCGGAGTCCGAAGCTGTAAGACAGCCATGTCTCTTCTTCTCTTCCATGCAGCTGAATTGAGACACTAACCATTGGAATTTTCTCCCAGAAATGCCTTGAATGACAAAGCCTGCCACAAAATCTTCGAAGCCCTGTTCCGGTGCGTTTCGGTCGAGAAGTCGATCTTTAACCGGTCCAGCAGATCAAGCGCTCGAGGTCAGTCCACATCCCGTCTGCCACTATGTGCATCTGTCCTTCGCATCGCTGTAGAGGTGTCTCTACGCAATCTCCGGACGAAGTCTGTCCACGCCGTAATCGATCACATTATCCAGACGATAACGGAGCCCGGGGAGGGACTTTGGGAGGTCCTCGGCAATGATTATGTGAAGTGTCTCAGATCGTTACTGGAGTACCCGCCTCATGTGGAACATCTGGGAGAGAATGAATGGCTCGACACCGTGTCCTTTTGTTTGCGGTGTCTTAGTCTAATCGAAAACGAAGGAAACCAGTTAAGCATCCGAACTAGCCATCATTCCTCGTCAGAAATCCTGGATGTCAGTAGTAGTCGATCAACTCCCGTGAGGACATCGGGTCGCACTGCCACGTCCGCAAGTTCTCATGTCAACAAGGGCATTGTCGAAGAGGTTGTAGTCTGTATCCAGCTGCTTACTGCCAGCGCCAACGCCCCTGTTCAGGAAATTGCCGGAAGGATACTCAGCAGTCTTTCGGAGTATCTGGCGTCTTCTCCGCAGCATGGAAATGCTCATCAAGCAGCTTTTAAGGCAATTAATGCTGTTCTGATGAAAGTTATGTGTGACCAATGCTCTCTTGTTCAAGATTTCGTCCTGGAGATTATACCCGTAATTCGACGGCTGTGGACAACCAAGTTGTCCGGTTTAAAAGATGAGATCCTAATCACCATTATGATTTGCATGAACCTTCTGCGAAACAGCGCTCAATTTTCACCGGCGGAGTCAACTGTTGAGTTACTTGAAGGACTGGTTGACGTACTTCTCTCGGAGTATGTGAGACGCCCGGAGAGAGAAGTCTTGCAAATCGACGATCTAGTCTTCTATCAAAGCACTTTTCCGGAACGAGACTGGCAGGTTTTTGGACCTCGTCTTGGAAACCCCAGATCTGAGCACAATTGGGCCGTCGTTTGGGCAATTGCCTCTCTTTTGGCAATATTAGATGATGTATCTGGTAACTCACCAGCAGTTTCCGCTGTCAACGATATGCCGAATAAGAGACCGCGTCTTATGTCGAGAATAGACGACATAGTCCGCGATTGCATTTCTTCTTCCGGCACTAGGAAGGCTTGTGCTCTGCAACTGCTGCCATTTCTTGAGCATCGAATAACAATCGAATCCAAAGCATCCCTCCTTGAACGCCTGGCAGTGAATATAATGGATGATAATGCAACGCTGGCATCTTGGACGTTGTTGGCAATCTCCAGGTAAGTCCCCTATTCTTCAGGTCTGGCGCTGGTTAATGTCCAAGCCAGTTCTGATGTTTGGTTTTGGTGGCAGTATTGCGAGTGCCAAAGACGCAAAATCGCACCTTCTTAAGCCTTATTGGCAGCAAATATGGGATCTAGCTTCTCGAGCGTCGGTTTCCCATGTCACATCAAGAGCAGCTTGCATTCTAATGGAGACGCTTCTCCGCTTTGAGCTCCTAGACTATTCTGAGGTTACGGAAACAATAAGGTCGATGCTGTCGGCCGTGGATTTGAATGGTCCTTCTGTCCTCTGTGACTCATCTCTGATGCTCTGGGCAAGAATTATGAAAATGCGTATTCACACGGCTGCTGGTCTCGGATTGGACGCATCGAAGCAAATCTGTAACTGGCTGCGTGGGCTTTGGACTATCGGTATGATCTTATCCAGGTCACTCATTCAGCAGCTGCTTACTAAATTATGACTAGGCACGATCAGTGATAAGATACAAGCTGCCCAGATAGCACTATTTGCACGTCCAGCTAACATTCTCGACCTTCTACTCTCATGTACCAATAGGTCACCATCACCCCGGAGTGTTCAGTTTCGGGGACCAGCAGGTCCGATCTCCAGGGCCTGGTTCCGCTACCAGCAAAATCGGGACTTGACTGAATATCTTTTTTCTTTCGACGATCATTCCGTTCTTAAAGAGATCTGGCACGGCGAAGAGACATTCTTGTCCTTAGAGTCATCTTTTAGGAGCGACCCAAACGACGGAATCGTCATAGAACTGCTACAAGCGAAGACAGAGGCCTTTTCTCAGGCCTGGAGAGCATTGTGCGAAGAGAAAACGCATCATGTAACTGGTGACGTAGTCCAGATACTTGCATCTTCATGTGCTGTGACGGCGATTTTTATTGAATGTCTTCCCCAGCCACATGGCACTCGAATACAGCAATTGCGAAAAAGCAGCAGACGCTTGTGGCAGGAGATATGTGAATATGTTTCAGGAAGAGAGGACGCCACTGTTCAAGCTTGCTTGGATATCTTGTCGCCAATAATCTCTTCGGCTCCGTGCTTGAAAGATCCTGATGATCCTGTTTCAAGAGCCCTGGATGATCTTGCATCTCCGCTCGTGGGGACTCTTGAGGAGCGTCGACAGGCTCAGGAATCTGATCCATTCTCTTTGGAGCCCGAAGCAATGGATTTGGATGAAGCTCTTTCTATTCGGAATGAGACCCTGGTGCGGGATTCCGTCATCGGTCTGAATCGTGAAAATGTGCCTATCTTTTCCGACGTTGCTGCCTTTCAACGCTGTCTTACGATACAGCTGTCGATTTTCCATCTTGGCGGTGCTCATGGCAGCGAAAATGGGGACTCAGTGCAGACGTCGTTGGTTAGCTACCTGAGAACATTCAACGAGACGGACGCTTTGTCTGCGCAGAATCTCCTACCAAAGATCTTCTCTGATTCATCTGCACTGACTCGCACAGACGTCCTGGATATTCTGGAGCACTTTGCCGAGATATGTTTGCAGTCTTATCAACTAGAGCGTTGTGAAGGTGCTCAATGCCTCTGCATAAATCTGATGAAGTGTTTCGTGGATTTTTGGACAACTGAGGGAAGGGATCATTTATACGATTCGGCATCGGATTTATATACATGGTTCATCCAGGTGTTTTTGGGGAAGAGAAAAGCTTCTCCCCGAGTTCTCGTTGCACTTAGTGAACTCCTGGAGACGGTGATCAGTTCTAACCCGGCGTTTTCGATGGCTGACGACGGCCCTTCATCGCGCACAAGCTTGTTCCATATTCTCCAAAAGGGGGATATGTCGGTAAAGTTCAATGCTGCGAAACTTATCCCCAGTATATTTGGTCGATTCCTGCTAAGAGACCATGAAGTCATATTCGATGACGTTCTGGAAAGCTTGCCTACGGATCCCGATTGGAGTGAAGGCATAGCTTTACGATTGTATGCATTAGCCCAGCTAGCCTCCCGTTGGCATACTTTGCTCCGCAGAAGTATCTACCATATCTTTGAGACTCCTGGCCAAGTACCAGAATCTGCTCGATACGCCAGAAAATGCCTACGAGATGTTTCAAAAGCATTGGGATTACGAGACGCAAGGGAAATATTCCAGCTGTTTTCACCGCAGATCCTGTACACGTGGACTGAAAGTCAATCGATAAAGTCGATGCCTTTTACCATATTTGGGTATTCGAGCTTAAAAGAGATGCTAATAGACGCGCAAGATGAGCTTGTCGGCCAGATCATGATGCGTGCAAATGAACAAGATGCAATCGAGCTTTCCAAATGTCTCGGCAGATCCTTTACAGATCTTCTGACCGAATCGTTCCACAAGGCTGAGGCATACACAATAGCTCGTGATATCAGCATCCCTCCTTCACAAGATAGTCAACCAAAGGGAGTGGAGAGTCGGATAAAGAAACAACTTGGTACAGAGCAATTTGTGAGATTGGTAGAAATGAAGTTTCCCGAAACCGTCGCGACGCTATTCAAATCTCTTAGTCAGGAAGGGCAGATCGAGAGGGCCTTTGCAAAGCGTTCAAGCTTTCGTTTTGCTGCTGACACTTTGCGACGTATCACAGAGAAGAGCGCCTCAAGTGCGCTTCTTCCGGCTAGTCAACAGCCATCATTTAGGGCTCGTTATCTCCTGGATGAACTCGAATTTCTTTGCAAACGAGCCGGTTATGATCTCGAAACAATGTGGACGCCAGCGTTGGTGTCCTTCGTTTGTCGAATGTTGTTAGAGTCGATTCATCCTGCGCTTGGCTCGCTCTACGCTTGTTCTGTCCTCAGGAAAATACGGATACTGGTGTGTCTCGCCGGTCCCGTTATTGTTCAAGATTATCCTCTCGAACAGCTCCTACACGCTCTCCGGCCTTTCTTAACAGATTTTCACTGCTCTGAAGATGCACTGGGTTTATTCTGGTATCTTCTCGAAGCTGGAAAGCCTTATCTAACTGAGCGTCCGGGATTCGTCGCGGGAATTGCAGTGTCGACGCTTGTGTCGCTTAGAGACTTTCTCTCTTCGGTACCAGAAAGCACTACGCAGGAGAGCCAATTCAGGACTGTGCTGTCAAAGTCTCAAGAATTTCGCGAATGGTTCGGCGACTTTCTAGAAAGCTATAAGCCGTCTAACCTCAGCGACGACGTGGAGCAATCCTTTCGGAGAATGATACGATCGTCACAGAAGTGCAGTACGGCGGGAAATGCTAGAAAGGGGACCTATGAGAGTGAGCTTTTGCTCGAACTACTGCAGGACAGATCATCTGGCCGCAAACTCTTGAATGATGCAGCCTCAGATCTGGTTCTGTCCCTCCTGTGTAGTGGTTTCCAAATGCCTTCCGATATTCGCAATGATGTCCTAGGAGAAGATGAGGATGCTGCCAAAGGCACAGTAGCTGTGTGGCAGACTATTCAGAACGGAATCTCTGAAAAGGAATATCGGTTATGGGCTGCTCGAGTAATTGGGCGAGCCTATGCCGCAACTGGACAAATCAACGACGAGTTACTTCGAGAACAAGACACTGAGCTGTTCAAAGCTCATTCTCAGGTCCAGGTCACGGATCCTTTTCTTGCGTCTAAGGTCACAATTCTTCATATTCTCTGCGGCATTTTATCTAACAGCAATGGTCCTCATTTGGGACTTGTGGAAAGAACGCTGCAGCTCATCGTCAGCAAAATCGCCAGCTATCCGGACCTTGAACAGTGCGAACAGGCAATACCGCCTCCCCTCCTGAAGGCGCTTGTGTGGGCTCCATATCACTGCCCTGACATACGTCTTTCGCCCTCTGAAATCAGTGACGGTGGGCACTGGCCAAGCTGGGACCCCAAGCTGCCTGCCGCTCAGTGGGCGCGTGATCTTGCGTTGTCACTAGCAGCTGCAGCTGAAGATGATCCAGTCATCGGGCCACTAAGAAAAATCCTCTACACCGTTCCCGATCTTGCTACACGGCTTATGCCGTATATCCTCCATGACGTGCTTTTGTCAGAGTTTGAGAGTCATCAAACTTCGCGCCAGAAAGTGTCTGAAATATTCGGAGAAGTACTGCAGAATGTGGAGGAAACGACCGTTCCTCATGCACAGATAGTCATCAATACTATTTTGTATCTCCGGAATCAACAGAAACCACATGAAGCGACAATCGCTGAACGAGATGACTGGCTCGACATTGACTACAGCCAAGCAGCTTCAGCGGCGAGCCGATGTAGGATGTATAAGACGGCCCTGCTCTTCATCGAAATTCAAGCGTCTCTGTCAGCAAGCGTGAGTCGTCGGTCATCCATGGTGAAATATAGCCCTCCTCCAGGCTTGCTTCATGATATATTTAGAGCAATTGGTGATCCAGACCTCTTCTACGGCGTCGAGCAGGAACCGACCCTGGAGTCGGTGATGGAGAAGCTCGACTACGAGAGTGCAGGATACAAAAATCTGGTCTTTCAGAGTGCCCAATACGACAGTGACGTGAGATTGAAGGGCAATGGTAACACTTATGGGATCATTAAAGCACTCAATGCGACGAACCTTCAAGGCGTTGCTAGCGCTATGCTTTCTGCTCCTAGCAACTCCGGGGGCAGAGCTGCTTCACTCGACTCTCTTCTGTCAACTGCCATGAGTCTGCAGCAGTGGGATATTCCGGTCCCTCCATCACATCCGTCAGCGACTGGTGTCCTTTTCAAAGCTTTTCAGAACCTGAATACGTCAGGGGATAAGGACGAGGTTCTGATGTTTAATAATGAGTGTTTCCTGGAGATTCTAGATCATCTCACTGACAAGAATCGATCCGTGACCTCGCTTCGGGATTCTATGAGAGCCCTCGGCCTACTGACCGAAGTCGACGACGTCCTACGTTCCACGTCTTCAGAGCAAATGGAGGAAATGTGGGAAAGGATGACGTCTCGGAAAGCCTGGCTCCAGGCTGAAAGGTAAGCGTGATCTCTCCTGTAGAAATCTGTATTGGTGCTGAGCGGTTTCCATGTAGTTTCCAGGACATTGCGCAGATACTCTCCTGTCACGAGACTCTCTTCTCATCCATAAAGAACAGGGACTATTTGAAGTCATCAGCAAAATTGACGTCTCGGGACGCACAATTGTTGGAGGTGAAAACTATAAGGGAATCTTTCAAAATTAGCAGAGATCACGAGGGTTCTCAGGAATCATTGAAGTCTGCTATCTCCCTCTCAAAACTTGTGCAGCCTTGTGCTGCGCTGGGAATCAACATTGATGGAGCAGCGAAGTTTGACCTAGCGAATGTTCTCTGGGACCAGGGAGAGATGACCACGTCAATACGCATGCTTCAGCAATTGAACGAGAAGAATGACCTGCACAAGCAAACTCTCGCAGTGAGCCGTGCCGAGGCCCTTGCGAGCCTGGTAAGTCAAGAACTCATTTTCTTTTCGTTGTCTTTTTCCATAGCGGCAGTGAGAATCACATCTAACAATTTCAAGGGACACCATGTTGCGGAAGCACGTCTGGAGAAGCCAGAAACTATTGTTCAGGAGTATCTCGTTCCAGCAGTTAAGGAACTCAGAGGGAACTCTGAAGGCGAAGAGGCCGGTCGCGTTTTCCACCGGTTCGCGATGTTCTGTGACCAGCAATTGCAGAATCCAGAGGGCTTGGAAGACTTTCAGCGCGTCGAGCAACTCCGCGATCGCAAAGAGAAGGAAGTCCAGGCACTTGAGAAGATGATGGAGGCGGCCGAGGGCAAGGAGAGGGAATCGCTTAAAATGCACCGGACCAAGGCGAAGCAGTGGTTCGATCTGGACGACCGCGAGTACCAACGACTGAAACGCAGTCGCGAGGCTTTTCTGCAACAATGTCTCGAGAACTACCTTCTTTCTCTGAAGGCGTGTGACACGTACAACAATGACGCTCTTCGCTTCTGTGCCCTGTGGTTGGATAAGTCTGGTGACCCCAAAGCAAACCAGGCGGTGTCTAAATACATCGCGCAAGTTCCCAGTCGAAAATTCGCACCCTTGATGAACCAATTATCTTCTCGTCTGCTCGATGTCTCCGATGATTTCCAGGCTCTGCTCTCCGCCCTGATATTTCGGATATGCGTTGAGCACCCGTATCATGGCATGTATCAGATATTTGCCAGCAGCAAGTCCAAAGGTGGCAAAGGCCAAACGTCTCTCTCGCGTTATCAGGCGGCAGGAAAGCTGGTGGAGAAGTTGAAGAATGACCGGCACGCAGGCCCGACTTGGGTTGCGATTCACAACACCAACATCAGCTACGTGAGATTCGCTGCCGAGCGGTTGGACGACAAAGTCAAGAGCGGTGCAAAGGTGCCGCTGAGGAAGCTTGCTACTGGCCAACGCTTGGAACAGGACGCGACGACCCAGAGGCTTCCGCCTCCGACGATGAGGATTGAGCTTCGCGTCGACTGCAATTACAGTGATGTCCCGAAGATTGTCAAGTTTAGCCCAGAGTTCACCGTCGCATCCGGTGTCAGCGCACCGAAGATTGTCACGGCTCTTGCCAGTGACGGTTTACGCTACAAACAATTGGTAAGATGATGCTGTTGCGTTTGTCGAACGGCTAAAATTGACAGTTTTGTCTAGTTTAAGGGAGGTAATGATGATCTGCGACAAGATGCTATCATGGAGCAAGTCTTTGAGCAAGTCAGCAATCTCCTCAAAGACCACCGCGCCACTCGGCAGCGAAATCTCGGGATCCGGACGTATAAGGTGCTGCCGCTGACGTCGAATGCCGGTATAATCGAGTTTGTTCAAAATACCATCCCCCTGCACGACTATTTGATGCCTGCGCATCAGAGATATTACCCCAAGGACATGAAGCCAAGTGTATGTCGCAAACATATCAGCGACGTCCAGACACGGTCCGTGGAACAGCGGATCCGAACATTCCGCCAGGTGACGGACCACTTCCATCCCGTGATGCGATACTTTTTCATGGAGAAATTCAACAACCCGGACGATTGGTTCAGTAAGAGACTGGCGTACACGCGGAGCACGGCGGCGATTTCAATGCTGGGCCATGTTCTGGGGCTTGGAGACCGCCACGGTCATAACATCCTCCTCGATGAGAAAACGGGGGAGGTGGTCCATATCGATCTCGGGGTGGCTTTCGAACAAGGCCGCGTTCTCCCCGTCCCCGAGGTTGTTCCCTTCCGCTTGACCCGGGATCTGGTAGATGGAATGGGCATCACCAAGACGGAAGGGGTCTTCCGCCGGTGCTGTGAGTTTACGCTGGAAGCTCTGCGGCAGGAGTCGTACAGTATCATGACGATACTCGACGTGCTTCGCTACGATCCGCTGTACAGCTGGACCGTGTCTCCTTTGCGAATGAAGCGAATGCAGGAAGACCAGGAAGCGGGCGACGGGCCCCCGGTGCTCAACGGCACAGGGGGCAAGAGCAATGCCAACGAACCAAGCGAGGCCGATCGAGCGCTGACCGTAGTGGCCAAGAAACTGAGCAAGACCCTGAGCGTGAGTGCGACGGTGAACGAGCTGATCCAGCAGGCGACAGACGAGAGGAACCTCGCCCTGCTCTATTGCGGTAGGTCCCATTGGGAACTTTCTTCATACGATTTCATACGATGTGAGCTAATACAATTTCTCAGGATGGGCTGCTTACGCGTAGGCAAAGGCGCCGTCGTGTGCGATGATATATATCCTGATCTTCGTGGTGTCTACACGTTACGACTGTGTTGTTGTATATATGTACAGTATAGTACATGCTTTGTTTCAGGATAATAGGGGTATTTGGGGCTTTTCGTAGATCAGTTAAATGTCAGCCATTTTTCTCTTAAATATCTTTAAACTAGGCACTCCAAGAAATTGAAAATCGTGTTTCTAAGGGTATTTCAGAAGGATTGTAACAAAGCCGTTGACAGCTTAAATTTAATGGCCTAGGTATTAGCGGCTGAATTTAATGGCCTAGGTATTAGCGGCTGTAACTATACGCTGCGCTAAGTGACTTAGCAGCTGGCCCCCATCACATCGCATGGAAATTGCAGCGTCGCAATTGCACATTCGTCTGGAAACAAATAAGAAAAGACCCTTTTCTCCTTTCTCTTGTTGTTATAATCTTCATATATGCCGTTTACCTATAATATATAGTTCCGTCCTGAGGGTTATCGCCTTGTATATACATTTCCTACATCATGGCGGGGCCTCCCAAGGCGCTGATTCTCATGGCCGACTATGGCCACGATCCGACGGGTGAGTGAGCTATTCATTACAGCTTGTCGATGAGAATTGTCTTGGATTTGCGCTAAATTATGTTCTTTTCTTTTAGAGACTGCCGTGGCTTTTACTATTTTCAAGGATGCGGGCTTCGACGTGCAATTCGCGACGGAGACGGGCAACGCGCCCAAATGCGATGACCGCATGCTGTACGGCGTGACGGGGAGACTACTTGTGAGATGCTCTTTTCTTTGATTCTGTTTTCAATTCTTTTTTTTATTGTTCAAGACTGTGTTGCGTTTGCTAATATTATTCTTCTTGTTTCTACCCAACGACCAGGGCGCCAGCAAAAAGGCAGTAGAACAGTACCACGCCATGGTCAAAGACCCTGCTGCCCAGAAACCGCTCGCCTGGTCGGATCCCAGCTTCTCGCTGCTCCATTACGACCTGCTCTACTTCCCCGGCGGCCACGAGAAGTCCGTCCGGCAGACGATCGACTCGGCGTCGCTGCAGAGGCATGTCGCCGAGTACTTCCCGCAGACGCGGAAACCGAGTCGCAAGACGGTGGCGGCCATCTGCCACGGCGTGCAGACGCTCTCGTCGGCCACGCTGCCGGACGGGAAGAGCGTGCTGCACGATGCGACGACGACGGCGTTGCCGGGAGCGATGGAATCGGGCATCTTCTGGCTGACACGGCCTTTCCTAGGGGATTATTACAAGACGTATGGGAAGGGGACTGACAACGTGGAGACGATCGTATGTTGACTGGCCTTGAATCCCGCTGGCGTTGGCTAACTAACTAATTCGCTGGACAGGTTAAAAAGCGATTGGATGATCCGAAGCAATATAAGAATAGCCTTGGACCCAGACCGTGAGTTTAGTTGCAGATATACTACAGTTTTTAGAAAGGCATCTGACTCTCTTCAGGTTCATCCACGAGGACAAAACGTACAACTACATCAGCGGCCGGTTTCCGCCTGATACTGCCCTGCTCGCCAAGAGGACTGTCGAGTTGGTGAAGCAGGTCTACCAGTCATGATTGTACTATTATATTGATCGACATTTCGAAGTAATTGGGATGGATTGGAAGTTATATCCATGCGACGCTATTGATGTCGTACCTTCCCATAATTGTTCTTCTTCTACGACATAGAATTTTCTGCATTAGAATGTTAATAATCATTAATTTAATTCTATTTATTAATCGTAGATAATTGAAATATTCTTACTTGTCCGCGCAGGTTTCCACCTGCCATCTATTTCTATTATTACTCACGGCCTAGAACGCGCTGGCCAACGGGGCGGATTAAACTCGGCCAAGCCCGCAGCGCAACCAGCTTTTTGTTTTATCGCATCACTACGTGTTCTCTCGCTACTGCTCGTCCTGCGCTTTGCCACAGCAGACAATAGAACACCCTGCGCCATGTGAGACGACTATTTCTTCTTCTGAGGCTTGCTTCCGGCGTTCGTTCGCATTGGCGTTATGAGCTCCTACCGAATGAGGCGTTTGGGGGTAATACATGCTGATCAACCCATTCAATACTAATCCTCGTATCTGTTGTCGAGTCAATGTATTGCAATTAGCTTGGTTGTCGTTTTCTGCAGACTTTGCTTTTGCTCTTGGGGCATGTATTTGTATTAAGGAGTAACAAGGCCTTTTTTTCCCTGGGTTATTTCTTGATATCGGGTTCAGTTTAGGGGGTTGTTTTCGCCTTCTTTTTCCTGTTCTTCCTACGTCTCTACTTGATTTAAAGAAATGGCAGCAACAGCAGATCCCTCATCCCCGAATCGAGGCATCGTCGTCTTTTCTGGCGGCAGTGCGGCCAACAGCCTGGTCGACGTCTTCAGCGCCGTCAGGGAGAGCAAGCATTGTACCCTCAGCTACATCATTCCCATCTCCGACAATGGCGGCTCGTCCTCGGAGTTGATACGCATCTTTGGCGGCCCTGGAATTGGCGACGTTCGAAGTAAGCGGCTGATCATTGACTGTTACTGCGCTGCATCAAGCTGACCGAGCCTAGGTAGACTGGTGCGGTTGATTCCGGACTCGCCGCCCAATTCTGAACGCGCCGCGATTAAATGTCTGTTCAACCATCGACTGCATCCCAGTGCATCTGCTGCTCATGACGAGTGGCAGTCCATCGTCGATGGCACGTCTCCCCTGTGGAAATCCATCACACCGGCAAAGAAGGAGTTGATCCGTTCCTTCTTCAACCATCTGAATCTCGAGATCCTGAAACGGGCTCGTCCTCCGGCGTCGACGTTCGACTTTACCTCCGCCAGCGTCGGGAATCTGTTCCTGACAGGCGCGCGGCTGTTCACTGGCAGCTTCGAGAGCGCTATCTACCTTCTAGGCAGCATTTGTGGTGTCCCATCCGACACCGTCCGGGTGATTCCGGCGATTAACTCGAACTTCTCGCACCACATCTCGGCGTCATTGGAAGACGGTTCGGTGATCGTGGGACAGAACAGTATCTCACATCCCTGCGAGGCTCCGGGCTCCCCGGGCCAGTCCAACAGGAGGCCAAGCCTCCTCCCGGCAGACGGCGACGACGAAGACTCATCCTCCGATGGCATTTCCTACGAAGACGACCATCTTCCGGGCTCGCTCCCCAGTCTCCGGAACAAGAACATCACCTTCAGCAAGGCCAACACTGAAGAACTCCCCTGCCGGATCTCCCGCATCTGGTATATCAACCCTTACGGACAGGAGATCCGCCCTCCGGCAAACCCGCGCGTGCTGGAGGCCCTGCGAGATGCGCAGGCTATCATCTACAGCATCGGCTCGCTGTATACGTCCATCATCCCGTCGCTCATCCTCCGTGGCGTCGGGGAGGCCATCTCCACCAGTCCGGCGCGGCACAAGATCCTGATTCTGAACGGGTCCCTGGACCGGGAAACGGGGCCGTCTTCCAACCCTTTCACAGCCGTGGACTTTGTCGAGGCCATTGTCCGCGCGGGCGAGGAGAGTCGAGGGAGAGGACTCCATGGTGGACGCCGTCGCTACACCGACACGGTCACAACGACGCTCGCCAACGGCACCAGCGCCAGCGCTAACGGTACAGTAACAACAACAACAGCAGCAGCAGCACAAACCATACCCGCAATCGTCGAACCCCTACCCTCCGCAAGACCACTCCCCTACACATCCTACGTCACACACATCCTCCACCTAGAAGGGCCGGGCACACCAAAAGTAGACCGGGAGCGCCTCGCGGCGATGGGCATCGAGACCCTCCGCCTGTACGGACGCAAAATAATGTCCGAAGACGGCCAGACGGTGCTGGGCACACAGTACGATCCCACGGCGCTTGTGCAAGCCCTGGAGGTCGTACTGGGGAAAAAGGGCGATGCGATGGTCCGCGGCGGCCAGGGCGGAGGCGTCAGCAGGCGGAATACGTTGGAGGGGTCGGGGAGGAAGGAGAAGCGAACAGAGCAGATTAGTTGAAGACATCATAAACAAGACCAATAAATAATAATAAATTATAATAATGATAATAATCATGATATCATGGTAATGATACTAATATTATTCCATCTTGCGGAGTTTGTGTTGGGTTGGGTTGAGTTGGGTTGGGTTGGGTCGTGCACATAAATAATTTACGGATGAAGAGTCGGTTATAGATGTCTGGTTTGATGGCACTTCTAGAATCTAGCCATTTAATCTGGAATGTTTGAATTTTTTTTACATCATTACTCTGTGCGCCGTTTGCATAGATTACAGATTATAGAGAAAGGGCACACACTTATACATACAATATGGAGGATAGATTAATAGAGGAAGAATCATTTACTGGAGAACGAACAGATGGAAAATATAGAAGATGAATCTAATACATCAATCAGGTCAGTCATTAATATAAGGGGAGGATAAAAGGAAGGGGGGGGGGGGGGGGGAAAAAAAGTCCTGCAGTGGGTGGTATCTATTATTATTTACGTATCTATTATTATTTACTATTAACTATCATTCATTCATTCATTGCATGAGCTGTTGCTGTTCATTAAAGACACTACCAGAGCAAGACGCCATTTCATTTCATTTCATCTTTAATATCCTCCTTTAAAACCCCCAAACGCCGTAAGATGCAGTCATAGTTCCATATCTTAAGAACATTGGAAAAAAAAAGGAACAGATGTTCTATGAAGAAGAACCTTTCTCCTTCGTCATCAGCTTCAGTTGTAACGGAACCAGATCTCTTTTCGGACCCGAAGTGTCCCTCCGTGAGAGAGGCTTTCGACAGACGGGACAATTTCCCCGTGGCCCCTTGCGAGACGATGTCTCTGCTCGCTCTTCGCCGAATCGGAGCGTCTCCATGATGCATTTGTGGCAGAATAGGTGGCCTAGTTGGGAGTGAGGAGGTCAGCATGTGCAGAATGCAGAGGGGGAAAAAATTATAATTCTAGAGCGTACCGCATATCGTGCTTGTTGCGTCGGTTGGCGTATCCATGCACACCGGGCATTTGAAGGATGTCAAGATGGATCGTCCCTTCCTCTCTTCGGAACTGGACTGAGCTTTGACTGCATCCTCACGCTGTTTGCGAGTGCCTTCGTCAGAGCAGATTCGTCGTTTACTTCTGTCAGGTCGACTGATTCAATACCGTCGATGTCTATATTTCCAGCGGCTCGAGCAGTCGATGACGATGATGCGGAGGAGTCTGCGGCCGGGGTGCTATCACTCGGCCGTCGTCGCTTAACGCCTCGAGGTTCGTGAACCGGACGTGATGATGGCTGTCCTGACGACTGCCCTGAGGGAGGACTGCTTAACACTTGGATATATTCCGGTGAGCGTCTTTCTCCGGGTGACCGGTCTGAACTGGTTGTCAGATCGACGATCGTCGAAGACGTTCTTCGCTCCATGTCACACTATGATGCAGGATGCAGGAATGCTAGAATTGACTGGTAGAAGCAAAACACCCGATGGAGTTGAGGGGAATGATGTCAATTCGTCGTTTAAAAGCGTGCTTGTATATGTCGCGGTAACGGACAGCCAGCTCGTCCCAGGAAATTGAAATTGTAAGTCGTCAAGGTAGGATGAAGAGATTACCAGAAACCTGACTATGTCGCATCACCATCAAATATCTCAGCGAGAAGCAATGATATCGAACTGTATCGGAACGCTTCGATAAGCCTGGAAGTGAGGCCGGATGACGGCAGGCAATGTCCAGGAGATGAGTGCTTCCAAGTGCAGGAAGCACTCTAGACCCTCCAACAAGTGGAGAGGGGAGAGAGACGAGATGCTGTAATCGGACGATTCTCGACTGCTCAACGATGCTCCATCTGGTGGCGGGACAAAGCACGGCGACGCTTCTATCAGCACGCGATCAGCAGTCAATTTGGACGATTGCGGAAGGCGGTGAGGCTCGGCCGGCGGATAAACCCCGTCGTCCCGATTGGCCCGCGCATCGCTGCCTCAGGCGTCATCCGAACTTCCGGCATGCAGCAGAAAACTGATCGCATCGATCTCTCAGTTGCCCAGACAGTTTGGCCTTAAGGCTTGACTTTTGACGCAAACCGGATCCAGACCGTTCTGTCTTTTTGTCTTTGCGCCCTTGCGCATCGACCGCGCTGCCATGACTTAACTGGCGCTGGGCTGCTCTTCCTCCATGTTGCGGTATCCGGCGCATGCTCCTCCTAGGGGCATTGCGCGATCCTGCGCACCGATATCACGGCCACGCTTCCTCCCTTCACAATTCCTATTTCCAAATGGGAGGGTGCTCTTCGCTCGATTGTCGACTGCTTCGGAAGAGAAGCCGAAACTCACGACCCTTTCAGGTATGTCGAATCAGACAGTCGAACGCCGTGGCAAGACGCTGATGATCCCAGTCCCCTCCAAGCCCAGGTTCAACGAGATCGGAGTGCAGCAAGTCAGCGACTACGTGCACTCGCAGATTTTCCTGAACAAACCGAATCCTCCAGACGAAAAGCTCATAGCCTTGGCCAAGGACCATCTGTCACGCCATGATCTTTTGGGCAAATCGCAGGAGGCCTCCGAGCCCATCGCGTTCGACTTGCCACCTCTGAGTGGCCAGACGTTGGACGAGCACTTTCACAAGTTGGGCATGGATTCCTCCGAGCCGTATCTAAGCTATGCAAAGAGCTATGCCCTGGCGAATATCCCTGACATGCCCCGAAAATGGGTTAGGAGGAGTGGATGGACCAAATACAATAGCGACGGCACCTGGGAACCGGTGGACGCCCCGGACGAGCAAACGTTGACTTTTGATACCGAAGTCATGTGGAAGGAAACTACTTTCGCCGTCATGGCGTGCGCCGTCAGCCCGACAGCGTGGTACGCATGGCTGTCACCCTGGCTGCTAGGGGAATCGGAGAGCGATCGTCATCTCGTCCCCCTGGGAGATATGTCGAAGCCACGCGTTGTCGTCGGCCATAATATTGGGTACGACCGCGCTCGAGTTCTGGAGGAGTACAACTTGCAGCAGTCGCGGAACTTCTTTCTCGACACCATGTCTCTTCATGTGGCGGTCAACGGAATGTGCTCCCAACAGCGCCCTACGTGGATGCGACATAAGAAAAACAAAGACTTGAGGGATAAGATCGCAAAGGAGAGCAAGTCGGTCGAGCTCGCAGCGCTGCTGGAGAGCAAGATGCTCGGCGAAGAAGAGGAGGAGTTATGGGTAGGGAGAAGCTCTGTGAACTCCCTGCGCGATGTCGCCAAGTTTCATTGCGGTGTGACGATCGACAAGTCGCAGAGAGACTATTTCGGAGAGCTTGACAAGGAAGGTATCCGGGAGAGACTGGAGGAGCTGCTGGACTACTGCGCCGCCGACGTTGCAATCACTCACCGCGTCTTCAAAAAGGTGTTTCCGAATTTCCTCGAGGTCTGTCCCCATCCGGTTAGCTTTGGAGCACTGCGACATCTTTCCTCAGTAATCCTGCCGGTGAATGAATCGTGGGAGCAGTATATCGAAAACGCCGAGCGGACATACCATCAACGACTGGATGACGTCCAACGGAAACTGGTTGAGCTCTGCGAGGAGGCCTTGAAGGTGAAGGATAACCCGGCCGTATACCAAAACGACCCCTGGCTGCGGCAGCTGGACTGGTCTGGCCAGGAGATCAAGATGGTCAAGGGCAAGAAGAAGGGAGATCCTCCGCGCCCGGCCGCTAGACAGAAGAAGCCTGGCATGCCGAAGTGGTACAAGGACCTCTTTGCCACCAACGATTCAAAGATCAACCTGACTGTTCGCACGCGGATAGCGCCCATCTTGCTCAAGCTGTCTTGGGATGGCCATCCGTTGATCTGGTCAGACAAGTTTGGCTGGACCTTCAAGGTTCCTCTGAACCAGGCGTCGCAGTATGACAATCAAGCGGTGACTCGTTGCGACATGTTGGAAGAGACGAACCCAGAGCTTCGCGATGACCGGAAACATGTCTACTTTAAGCTGCCACACAAGGACGGACCCCAGGCCCGGTGTGTTAGTCCGTTGGCCAAAGGATACTCGCAGTATTTCGAGAATGGAACATTGTCTTCGAAATACGCCCTTGCTAAAGAAGCGCTGGAGATGAACGCATCTTGCTCGTATTGGATCAGTGCACGGGACCGGATCTTGAGTCAAATGGTCGTCTATGAAGAGGACGTGCAGGGCCCTAAGAAAGACGGCAAAAAACTGGGCTTCATTTTGCCCCAAGTCATTCCCATGGGGACCATCACTCGGCGTGCTGTGGAAAATACGTGGCTCACGGCCAGTAATGCCAAAGCGAACCGCGTCGGGTCCGAACTCAAGGCCATGATCAAAGCCCCTCCAGGCTATGTCTTTGTCGGTGCCGATGTGGATTCTCAGGAATTGTGGATCGCCAGTCTTGTGGGAGACGCTCAGTTTCAAATCCATGGGGGCAACGCCATTGGCTTCATGACGCTGGAAGGCTCCAAGGCTGCTGGAACTGACCTGCACTCGCGGACGGCTAAGATTCTTGGGATTTCTCGGAATGACGCCAAAGTCTTCAATTACGGGCGTATCTACGGCGCTGGGTTGAAGTTCGCTGCCACTCTGCTCCGCCAATTCAATCCGACGCTATCGGACAAACAAGCCAGCGAAATCGCGGCAAAACTGTACAAAGAGACCAAGGGTACCCGTACCACTCGTAAGATGTTGAGTGACAGTCCTTTCTGGCGAGGCGGCACTGAGTCGTTCGTCTTTAACAAGCTTGAAGAATTTGCCGAGCAGGAGAGGCCTCGAACACCGGTCCTGGGCGCTGGAATTACGGAAGCCCTCATGCGCCGCTTCATCAACAAAGGCAGTTTCATGACTTCTCGAATCAACTGGGCGATCCAGTCGTCTGGTGTGGACTATCTGCATCTCCTGATCATCTCGATGGACTACCTTATCCGGCGGTACAACATCAACGCCCGCCTGGCAATCACGGTTCACGACGAGATCAGATACCTCGTGAAGGAGGAGGACAAATACCGGGCGGCCATGGCGTTGCAGGTCGCCAATGTCTGGACTCGCGCGATGTTTTCGCAGCAAGTGGGCATCGACGATCTTCCGCAGTCTTGTGCGTTCTTCTCCGCGGTGGACATCGACCACGTTCTCCGTAAGGAGGTCAACATGGACTGCGTGACTCCTTCTCACCCGAACAAGATCCCTCACGGGGAGAGCTTGGATATCCATCAGCTTATGGACAAAGGCCATGAGGCGTATCTGGATCCGTCCATCGAACCCGTCTCGCCACCTGCCCCGGAGAAGTATTCCTACACGCCGCGGAAGTCGGTCATGTCCTCCCTCCAGAACTCCGACCAGATTGCTTTCATCAAGGCGCAGATTACCAGCGACGACAAGGAGCTGCGGGAGATCATCAAAGAGGCGATGAAGTCGTCGTCGGCAGACTCCAAGTCAGGGTCGAGCGTGACTACGACACGCTCCCGCAAAGCGACGGCCAAAGATGCTGCCGCGCCGAAACCAGTCGCCGCTGAACCGCAGCGGGCCATCCTGATGGAAGTCCAGCCCAATCTGTACCACGACTTCCGGAACCCGTCGCAGGGCAAGAATATTGGCGCTGCCAACAAGCAGAATCCTTTCACCTTGTCCAAATACCCGTGGAAACCGCGTCCTTCGTCTGCTCGGCTGTAACGGCCGACAGGAAGGCTACCTAACATGAGATGACATTCTTTTCCTTCTTCGGTGTATATTTTTCTCCTCTCTTTTCTTTGCCCTTTCGATCAATCTTTCGTCCACGGGACCTTATTTCTTCTCAGCGCCTGTCTTTGAACGATCTATCTTCTCTATTCCCCTGTTATCGTATGGCGCCGACTATTGTCTCCATATCCTTGTCACATTATATAGGTATTATATACTGCATTGGACCGGCGTCTGGCTTGCTTAGTGGGATGTGGGTATGTGGATGAATGGATGAATGGAATGGATGAGTGTTGGATGGTGTGTCACTAATCAGGTACCTATTCCTATTAACCAACGTGTACTGTACGTGTACGTGTATGTAACTAGCCATGTCTGTATATCTATCTATCTATCGATTTATCTATCGATTTATCTAATGTGATCTGTTCCAAAGTAATTGTTAGTCTGTACTGTTCTAAACTGTATGTACAGTACAGTGTCTGTCAGTCACTACCTTTTTTTTTGACGACAGACAGACAGACAGACAGATAGATAGGTAGGTCCTGAGATCGAGATATAAAATCAATGAAATTAATTAATTAGGTCCCAAACCAAAGTAACTAAACTAAGCGACTCATCATCCTGACTGTATGTACTGTATGCACATACGTACATACATTACAAATCCAGTCTTGACAACAACAGTCTTCTGCGTTCTGCCAAATTGCGCCAATATATGATATGTACTGGTTGATTGAGATCCTAGATCCAGCCTGAATGAAAGGCACGATCAGGATCAGGTCAACTGGATCTTCCCTCCACCGTCCGGTAACGGCACTCGATACAGTGTGAACGGCTTGGCGCGCCTGTCCACTCCGCCCTGAACCTTGGGTATTCTCCAGAGTTGGTTCTCTGTGAAGTATAGATATCCCCTACTACTACCACTGCCAGATGAATCTTCAGAGGAAGAATTCCTCAACGACACCACGCTCATCGTGTCCGTCCACTCGATGCGCGGGTCCCGCACAAAGGTCGCCACGGTGCCATTTTGCGGGAAATAGACGTTGATCGAGTTCGTCTCGAAACTGCCGCAGTAGACGTAGTCGTTCGAGTCGGACTCGAGGCCGTCGCTGACGCCCTTCTGCGTCAGTCTCGTCACGGACGCGGCGGCCAGGAGCTGCGCCGTCGGCGAGGTGTGCTCGCGCAGTCGCGCCGTGGGCACCGAGTACAGGTATCGCCCGCTCACGACGGTCCAGTACAGCGTCTCCCCGTCCGCGGAGAGCGTGATGCCGTCGCTTCCCAGCGCGAAGTAGACCGGCTCGCCCCAGATGGTGAGGTAGAAACCTGGTTCTGGGTGTACCCAGAGGAGGTTGTCCAGGTGCCGCCAGGACTCGCCCGTGCCGAGGTCGACTACGATGATGCCGTTGCGGCCTTCGTTGCTTGAGTCTGTGATGTAGGCGATGCCCTCGCCGGACTCGGTGATGTTGGGCCGGAGGTCGAACCGGATGTCGTTGTTGTACTGTGTCGATGGTGTTAGCGAAGCACCCTCTACTTTGCGCAATTTGATGGTTTGATTTGTACGTACTGAATCCGGGTATGACACATTCGGCGGGAACAGGATTGTTTTGAACACGGTGTTGCTGGCCAGGTCCACCCCGATCAGCTTGGGGCCGCCGTACGAGGACAGCAGCAGGGTTCCATCTGGCAGGGAAACCCTGCCCGTGTCAAGGATCCACAGTCTGTCCTTGGGGTCGATGACAACGCTTTGGACCCCAATCAGGTAGTCTCGATAGTTGGCGGAGGTCTGTACCTTTGTGAGCGATATGTCCAGGTCAGGAATAAGGCAACTAACCATAGGATTGGTAGTATAGTTAATGGGCCCCCCAGGAGGCGAATTCATCTCCGCAGAGGGATACGGGGTCTCTGTCGTGTTGCCTGTCAGTTCTGCGACTTGGTATTTCGTGTCGTTGGCATCCAAGCCGATGGGATAATTGGAGAACATGCGGCCAGTGGAAGACACGGCGATACCTGCATAAGAGACCATCAGCTATGCAAGTCATTCTGCTGGATGAGACAAAAGGCATACCGGTAGGCCACCCATCATAGTAATAGTGAACCGGCTCCAGAGGGGGCCCGTAGACAAGAGGATCACGCGCCTGGCCTCGAACCGGGTGAGGGAAGAATGGGTTTGGAATCCAGCCGGAAAGCAGCAGGGTGAGAGAGAGTAGCTTCATGTTGACCATATTCTCCTGTCTGATTTCTGAAGAATTGTTCGCTGATGTGCACGGAGTACTACCACAACCAAGACGCAGTAGATGTTCCATCTGAAAAAGAAATGACAGGAAATCGTGAATCCTTATGCAGCTTGCTGCTTTGTTATTCGCCTGATAGGCAGCATCTGTTCCTTGGGAGTTGCCAACCAACTAGGCCTAGTATGGGACATGGCTGGCTAGGTTGACAGAATGTCTTCCGCCAGTAAGCCATTGGTGACTTTGGAGTGCCCTGCAGAATACTCCGGAGATGACTTTATGGGCTGGATATTATCAATCGTAGTTCAGGACAGTCGTGCAGGAGCAGTGTTGAATCACTGTAAACGGCAGTTGAGGGCATCAAGTAACTCCAACGCATGGATATTCCAGGCCGCAGATCATGAATAGCAGAACATAATGCAAAGCAGACCACAGAACCTGATCTTCAATACAATTCTGCAGCGCGTTATCAAGATTGGTCTATTGTAGACGGATGCTTACGGGCTTCGAGTGCTTGGCGCATGCCCGACGGGGGAAGCAACGTCTCCACGCGGGGAAGAACCGTGGGATGAAAGCTGTTGCATTTGACTATTGGCGACAGTCTGCCTGTATTATTGGCAATTCAGATTGACTTAGCTGTTAAGCTTAAAGTCCCAAGGTTCACGTTCTTCCTGCTTATCTCTTTTCGACTTAGACATGGCCCTAGCGCAAATGTTCCAGGTCCACGTCCCAATCCGGGCTGAACGTCGCTGGCTTTTGTTTCATCACCGCAGCCTGGCAGAGGGAGGAAGGATGCATTGCTTGACATTAATATCGTTATCAGCAGGCCGTCTTGACCATGAGTGTCTACTCCCATGATTATGCCGCGCCATCGGACCAGATCGATGTCGAGGCGCAACCGCATTCCCCGCTGCGTGACGTCGAAGACGCAGCCTCCCCGGACACCTTTCTAGCCAGAGCCAACTCTGTCAGCTCAGTCAGGCGACGGCTGAAGAGGTCCAACACGGCGCGTTCCTACTACAGAGAAGGCCTCAGCCCCGATCACAGCTGGGAACCAGGAAAGGAACCGGGCATCGACCCCAAGAAGCCTCTACCGCCAGATGGCACCGAGTGGTCGTCGTCGCTGCCGGTCGATCTCCACAAAAGATGCGAAATCACGGTCGTGGACTTCTCTCAGCACGAGATGCGCCAGTACGTGCTTGACAACGACACGCTGGAGCAATTCCTGCAGCGAGAGCGAGAGCCCTGGGTACAATGTCGCTGGATCAATGTCAACGGGTTGAGTTGGGACGTCATTCGGATTCTGGGAAGCCACAAGAACCTGCATAGGCTGGCCATCGAGGATCTCATGCATTCGCACAACCGCACCAAGGTCGATTGGTATTCCGATCACGCCTTCATCGTCCTGTCGCTCCAGAAATTGGTCACGCTGCGCAGCGGCGATGAGAGTGATTCGGAGGACGGTAGCGGTGAGGGCCAGGACCGCAATGGGAGAGACGACAGAGACTCTGTTCTCAGCGCAAAATCACTGAAGACGCCCAAAGAGAGCAAAAACTGGTGGGTGATCATGGCCGCGCTCGGAGATCTGCTTATCCCGCGCAGATTCAGGGACAACCACAAGGGTCCTGGTGAACGTCCTGGCAGCGTGGAGAGTCTATATGATCGAGGGGCGCATCAAGGAGATGTTCGTCAGTTCCGGCCTCCGCACAATCGGAGTCTGCAGCGCTATCGAGGGGGACCGAACGAGGAGCGGATTGAATTCATGGAGCGCCATGCCGTTCTCGCCTCGCGAGGCCTGTGTGTGACGCTCGAGCAGGTGTCGATCTTCCTTAGCGCCGACAACACGGTCTTATCGTTTTTCGATGCGAGCGCCGGTGACGTCGAGGCGCCGATTATTAAACGTCTGAATTCGCCAGAAACCATCCTACGGCAGTCGTGCGATGCCTCCATGCTGGTGCAGGCCATTCTCGACGCCATCATCGATCTGGCGATCCCCGTGACGATGGCCTACCAGGACGTAATGGGCGACCTGGAGGTCGCAGTCCTGACTGACCCGAACATCGAACAATCCAAGAGCCTCTATATCCTCACCTCAGAGATCGCCGTTCTTCGGAACGCTATGCAGCCGGTGGTGGCCGTCATCAACGCTCTCCGCGATCACCGGTCAGAGCCTGTGAGCACTCCGGGTTTGGCCACTGTCAAGTCCGGTGTGACAGCAAATCCCTTCTTTGCGCCATCGTCGGGCAACAACAACTCCGCTTTCATGGGGACTGCGCCTCCTAACCTGAAGAGCATGGGCGGGTCGACGGTGACGATCAGCGCCATGTGCCACACGTACCTTGGCGATGTTCTGGATCACTGCATCACCATAGTTGAGGGATACGACCAGATGAGGCGGTCTGCTGACAACATGATCGATCTGATCTTCAACACTATCGGTATGCCATACAATCGATCTCCTTCCAGGAAATCACTGTATGAAGTTCTCTTAGGCTAATTAATCTGTTTGGGTAATGGCAGGCGCATACCAGAACGAGAGCATGAAACAGCTGAGCCTCGTGACTTGTTTGTATCTTCCTTTGACGTTCTTGACGGTCTGTAAGCCAATACTAGCGATCCATGAAATATGCTGACATGGTTTTTGTGCCAGGGTTACTTTGGGATGAACTTCGTGGAATTTAGTGGCGTCCACGAGCATAGTGATGCGTATGTCCACCATCCTATTAAATTAATAACTCATTGAAAAAAAAAAAACTGACAAAACAAACCAAAACAGCTACTTCTGGGAGATAGCCGTGCCTTTCGTTTTTGTTACGACCGTCTTGCTGATGTGAGTACTTAAGATTAAAATGAGCCGAGCGGCCAGCTAATGCTGTTCCGTCACAGGCGCGACAAGATTATGCGATACTTCTTGAATCTCGCCCAGAAACGGCTCTTCTTCAGTTCGCGGAGACGGAAACAGAGGAGGAAGTATACCAAAAAGTCGTAAATTACGATTGATCTCTGTCTATCTAAGTGGAGCTGGTCTTCGCTTGCAAGGGGAATATTCTTCCACCTAGAATTGATTTGTATAATAAAGGATCTGAATTTATATATATGTATAGTCTTTGCTTCGGGATACTCAAATCTTCTATTATAGATAAGATGGAACCGTTTTGGTCATATCAGCAATGTATATAGTACATGTACAGTACTGTACAGCACATACAATGTCAATTCTGCATTATTCAAAGCGACCGACGTCGATACGCCCAGAACGCCTTCCAGGGCAATCTCCAGTCGGAGCGGAGCAGGCTAGGGTTGAAGATGTCAAAGTCGACCTTTTGCAGTCGATCCAGCCACAGCTGTGTCGATACAGCCGGCATCAAGACCCCGAACCCGCGCTCAACTTCCTTCAGTTGCCGCTCGTAAGGAGAATGCTGCTGAGCGGGGGCCGTGGCGGCGGAGTCCTGTTGGGATTGTTGCTGTTCTCTGTATTCGTGGCCCTCCTCGCCTTCGTGCTCAAATTCATGGCCTACGTCTCGGCCTGCACGCAGATTCTTCAGCATCTGCCGCGCGGTGATGAGATGGTCACTGGCGCGAGTCGCAACGGCGAATACGGCATCCCGCAGTCCTGGGGCGTCTGCCCCGTGCCGGAAGACGTCTTCTTCCTTGACGCCTTTCTGCGCCATGATATCCAACGGCAGTGTGATCGCACCCTGCTTCGTGCCTACCCCACTGAGCGTCGCCGGCTGGTTTGAGTGCTGGCTCGGCGGCGGGGATGGAAAGGCCACAAGCGGGACACCGCGCAGCACGGCTGCTATCCCAGCGGCCTTTCCGATGTGCGAGGCGAGATGGTCTGCCGTCAGAGACGTCATGGGCAGGGCAGCTAGTGTCAGATACAGCAAGGTCGAGTAGGTGTTCTCGGCGTAGGACTCCAGTGCAGCAAGGTTGGGATAGGGGGCGTTGGTGAGGGATTGCTCACGCGCGTTGATCATGCGCAGGAACCAGCCCTTGCTGAGCCTTGCGCGGCCGTCTGTTCGAGCATTGAGGTCCGAGACGGCCGCAGCCAGCAATACGGCTATGGGCTCCTTCGGTGGTGAGCCCGAGAGGGCGCGAGTGACGGTGTCCCGCCAGAATTGCAGCCGCATCAGCCCGATTGTGTATGACGAGGTCGTGTCGGGAATCATAGACAGGGAGATATTCAACGCTCGCAAGGCGAGGTAGAATGTCTGCGTCTGTCGAGGAATGAAGGTACTGAAGATATAGGAGGGACGGTCATATTTCCTATACAGCATTATTTACTAGTCAGCGATACGCTCGTCTAGCTGTTGTAAGGCCTGGAAACATTTACCGGACGAGATCAGTGCAATATCGCCGCGCCGACTCAACTTCGGCCTCTGCGGCCCCTGTTACAGGTGCCTGAGCTGGAGCTGACCTGGTGAAGTCTCGCCGTTGGTTCCGGCTCTGCGGCCGTCGTCGGAATGAGCGCAAAGAAGCCTCCGCATGGCGGGGAGAGAAAGTCCTTTTCAAGCATGACATGGTGATAGCCGCAGATAATATTCTTCGATTCAATTTCGAGTCTTTCGAATCCTCTCAGCTAGCGCATGGCTATGAAGATGCGTCGTTTGCGAGATGGTGCTGGACAGGTCGCTCCATGGAGCTGTAGTCACTGTCTCCGAAAACGAAATCCCTGGTCGATATTAAGTGGACAGAACGTAAGTATATTTGACGTAATTAAAACAAGACAGTGGAGGATAAGAGCAATCCTCCGGCGTCATGCATGGCCCTGCTTGGAAATCCTGCAGCTCTGTTTCGAGCTTTTTCCCACTAAAATGACGTCGGCCCGAGCTGCGTGCGCGTCTTCCGGCGCGTCTTCCAAACCAGCCAAATTAATACTTCCCTGAGGCTCCCCATCTCCGAACCTGACAATAGCACTTTTTGGTCGAAGATTCCCTCCAAAGTCTCGTCGCGTCCATCATGAGCTTTGGAGATGTCGATGAACGGCCAACCAAGAAACGGCGCTTTTTCGTGGAGGAGGAGGACGAACAGCCCCTCTCGCGTGACACCCCCGACGCGTCGCAGGAGGCCTTCGCCCCAAGAAACCTCGAAAATGGCACAGGGGAGAGGGAAGATGCCCTGAGCTTATCAGGCAATGGTATCTCTGTGGAAGATGCAGAGCACAAGCGGCGAACCACGTACCATCCCGACGTCGATACCAGCTCTAATGGCGTTCACAGACACGAGCCGGTGCGAGACCAGCAACCTCCGGTGGGACAACAGGAGAATGGAAGTACTTTTGATACGGAGCTATTCTCCAGCATCGTGGGACAGGAGATCCCCCAAGATACAATGATGCAAATCCGGGCCGCTGCAAACGATAATATGGAGAGAGCCATCAACATGTTTTTTGACGGGTCGTGGAAGAACGCCAGCCGCACTGCATCGTCCACTATTCCTCAACAACCCTCTCGGGCTGATATTGCTACAGCATCGACTACCACGGCCGAGGAACCTCAGGGGAATACAGAGACGAGGGATACGACGGACTGGAAACCACCGGAGGGCGCAAAGGTTCTTACGTCTATGCCATACCATAGATATATAGGCGCCTTTGGAGTGGCGGCGTGGGCAACGAGAAGTGGTACTAATCTAATTCGTCATGACGAGCCGGTCAAAATTGAACGCACTAGGTCGCAACCTTTGACAAAATTACGCAGAGGTGGAAAAGTTGTCGTGAATCAAAAAGCAGACGTTTTGACTCGCTTCACGAACCAAAGAGGTGAAGAGATTGGACGTCTCCCTCGAGAGACTGCCGAATGGGTTTCCACGCTCATTGATCAAGGGATATGCGATTTTGAAGGCGTCTGCGTCTTCGCCCCTGACAGGATCAGGGTTAATGATACCATCTATTTGCAGCTCCGATGTTATCTCCTCAAGGACGCGTTTCACCCGGACAATTTCAAGAGTCTGGACGATAACAGATCGACCGGCCTATTCGAGCAGCAGGAGAGTCTGGAGGAGCGAGAGTTGCGTCTCCGTCAAGTTGCCCTGGTTAAGCTCTTCGATGAGATTAATCTACTCCCGACCTCTACCAACGAGACTACTGTAAAGCATAAGAAGGAAGGGCTGCTGCGGGCAGCTGAAATGGCGGAGCAATATGACAAGAACAAAAAGGACAACCATAAAGATACCAACGAGCCAGGTGATTCCTCCCAGGAGGAAGAGTCTGCCGAGTTAGAAGAAGATCAGCTCGACACATTATACAAGAAGGCCCAGTCGTTCGACTTTAGCACTCCAGAAGCTCAGCCTGCTGAAACGTTTGTGATGAATCTCCGTAAATATCAAAAGCAAGCTCTCCACTGGATGCTCGCAAAGGAGAAAGACGCCAAATTGGACAGGCAGACCTCGATGCACCCGCTGTGGGAAGAGTACAAGTGGCCCACGAAGGATGTTGATGACAAGGTTTTGCCGTGCGTTTATCGACAAGACTACTTCTACGTGAACCCTTATTCCGGCGAGTTGAGCTTGGAGTTTCCAGTCCAGGAACAACGTTGCCTGGGCGGAATTCTCGCAGACGAGATGGGTCTGGGCAAGACGATTGAGATGCTCAGTCTCATACACTCAAATCGGATCATGCCCGATGCTGATGGTTCTGTCAATGGTCTGCCACGGCTTCCTAAGTCGTCTACGGGGGTAGTTCCGGCCCCTTATACGACACTTGTCGTTGCACCAACTTCGCTTCTCTCTCAATGGGAGAGCGAGGCTAACAAGGCTTCTGCTCCGGGATCGCTCAGAACAGTCATCTACTACGGTGCAGACAGAAGTGTAAATCTGAAGACTCTCTGCTCTGCGGCAAATGGTGCCTCTGCCCCCCATTTGATCATCACGAGCTATGGAGTGGTGCTGTCAGAATATCGCAGCCTTGCATCTCGACCACTGCTGTCAGCTGGTGGTCACAGCGGACTGTTCTCCCTCGAGTTCTTCCGGGTTATTCTGGATGAAGCTCACCTCATCAAAAACCGCCGTTCTAAATCAGCTCGAGCATGCTATGAGCTCAAGGCTATCCATAGATGGGTTTTGACGGGTACGCCCATTGTCAACCGGTTGGAAGATCTGTTCAGTCTGGTCCGTTTCCTGAAAGTTGAACCATGGAGCAACTTCTCCTTCTGGAGGACATTCATCACAGTCCCTTTTGAGTCGAAAGATTACGTACGCGCCCTCAATGTTGTGCAGACGGTCTTGGAGCCTCTTGTCCTCCGTCGGACGAAGACGATGAAGACGCCAGAGGGAGAAGCTTTGGTTCCACTGCCTCCTCGGACAATTACAATCGAGGAGGTGGAGCTCTCGCAGCAAGAACGCGAGATCTACGATTACATATACACCCGCGCAAAGCGTACTTTCAACGACAATGTCGAAGCCGGTACCCTCCTCAAGTCTTACTCGACTATCTTCGCCCAAATCCTGCGACTCCGACAGACTTGCTGCCATCCGGTGCTCACCCGGAATAAAACCATTGTCGCAGAAGAAGAGGAAGCTGCGGCGGCGGCTGATGAGGCGAACGATTTGAAGGACGATATGGACTTGCAAGAGCTTATCGACCGCTTCACCGCGTCTACTGAGGCGGCGGATTCTAATCAGCAGCAGGACGCGTCAATGCGCTTTAGTGCCCATGCATTGAGGCAAATCCAGAACGAGTCCAGCGGTGAATGCCCTATTTGTTCGGAGGAGCCGATGATAGAGCCTGCAGTAACGGGTTGCTGGCACAGCGCATGCAAGAAATGCCTCGAGGATTTCGTCCGTCATCAAACGGATAAAGGGGAGGTGCCTCGCTGTTTCTCGTGTCGGGCGCCTGTGACACGGCGAGACATCTTCGAAGTTGTCCGTCATCGGTCGCCCAACTCGACAGCAGACGAACAAGATCTTTACAGCAGCTCGCCTCCATCGTCTTCGCAACCAGCACCCAAGATCTCTTTGAGGCGTATCTATCCGCTGTCGCCTTCAGCTCATACGTCGGCAAAGATCCACGCACTGATATCCCATCTGACGCGTCTGCCTCCCAACACCAAGGCCGTCGTATTCTCTCAGTTCACGTCTTTCCTCGATCTTATCGGTCCGCAGCTCACCCGAGCAGGCATATCTCACCTCCGGCTCGACGGCACAATGCCGCAGAAAGCGCGAGCGGAAGTCCTTCGCCAGTTCACCAGCACGGAAACCTATGAAGAGGAGCTGGAGGACGATGATCTCGATGCGACGCCCAGGAAACCCTCCAGCCGTCCAAAAGGGCCAACCCAGAATCAGTCTCCGACCGTCCTCCTCATGAGTCTTCGTGCCGGCGGCGTAGGTCTGAACCTCACGGCGGCCAGCCACGTCTACATGATGGATCCGTGGTGGAGTTTTGCGGTCGAGGCGCAGGCAATCGACCGCGTGCACCGGATGGGTCAGCTGCGCGAAGTATCAGTGACGCGGTTTGTGGTGAAGGATTCGATCGAGGGGCGCATGCTGCGCGTCCAGGAACGGAAGATGAACATTGCAGGGACTCTAGGTCTCCGGGTAGGAGGAGACGGGAGCGAGGAAGAGCGACGAAAGGAGAGAATCGAGGAGCTGAAGCTGCTGTTTGAGTGAGCGGTCGAGCAGCATACTCAGAATAATGACCTTTTTGTTGTCGTCATTGTTGTTCTATCTCTCTTGTCTGTCTGGAACAGGATAGAGGGGCATTTCTAATAAAATTTCTAATAAATATATCGCGTCTATACCCCATGTATGATATATCTACCGGATTGAGGGGAATCTTTGTTTTTAGATAGGTAGGCAGGCGGCGTTGAGATCACAGTTCACTTAGGTAACCCAGGTCATCTTCTGCAACCTTTCGCGATTTATCCTGGATGGAATCTTCTTTCAAGGCATACACAGCAATTGTAGTAATAGCAGTAGTTTGTTTAAGTCCGCTTGAGAATACATACCATATCATCAATAACCTTTATCATAGATTAGCTTTTGAAATTCCAACCTTTCCGGCCTTTCCGGCCGACAGGATTCTTCCAAAACCTCCATCAAAACCGGCCTCCACCATTCTTCACCATAGTAGTCATAGACATCCTTTGCAAGAGTGTGCTCAACATACTCTGGAAAAAACCCACTGTTTTCCCAGTCCAGTATGCCAGTGATCTTCTCCCCGTCGTCATCAACCATGATATTTCTGGGGAAAAGATCTCCATTCGTAAGGACGAACTTGGTCGAGGAGGAGGATTCTTTGCGTAGTTTGGAAAGTGTCCGCTGCCAACGGTGCTTTTTAATAAATTAAAAAAATTCCTTTTTTGACTCGTTGGAGGCACCACTCGTCAAACTCGGCCTCTGAGTCAAATGAGCCTAGGTTGTATTCCCTTCGGATCCCTTGATAGAGATTGCGCGCTGGTTGACGATTGATGCGTCCAATGTACTGTTGCGTGCATTTTCTGAAAAGGCGTATTTGAATCTTGAGCTGGTCTTTGATGGAGTCGCGCTGCCTCTCGTTCAATGAATGCCAGACTTCACCGAGTGTTTTGCCTGGGACATAATCGCTGATCATCGCAATTTGATCATCGTCGCCATGGGGACGGCACTCCCAGACTCTGGGTGTCAGGATTCCTTGTTCGTTGGCATATGCTATCATGTCGGCCTCGGATTGTTGAAAGATGGCTGCGGGTTTGAACTTGATGGCGACATATTGGCCATCTGAGTTACGAGATTTGATAACACGATTCTCGAAAGTATTATCGAGCAGTTCACCTTCGAAGGGCCCTGTGTACTTGCCTGTCTAACTTATCAGTTTTGAAGATCTTGTGTATGAGACTGAGGATTCTCGGACTGAACATCCATCCATGCCTGGCGTTTTGGTAATGTGGCCGATAGGCGGGTCTGCCATTCCACTACCTAAAATGGGTTTGTTTCTGTTACGGGAGGACACATACGTATAAAGAGTAATCACGTGTTGCAGTCACTTACTACACAGAAGAGCTAGTGCTGACTGACACAGCACGGTAAATGAAAAGTTGGAGAAGATAAAGGGAGATGTTGTAGCTACTCAAGAAGAACATGTAGTGACATATCAAATAGACACAAATTAATACAGGACCATTCAACGGCTGTCCCCACCATCTGAGATCCCTCAACCAACTTCAATAAAGCAAAAAAAAGAAAGCAACATAAAAGAATAGATTCATAGTCTCTTAAGAGCAAACCATTCAATAAGTGGAACAGTGCCTCTGGCTCTATGGACTTCTAGGGTGTAGAAAGACCGTTCTTACTAAGTGTAATAATAATAATAATTAACCCTAGATGATACACCAATAGGTCTAATAATTATAACTCTTAGACCAGGGGTCTAGATGATATAACCGATAAAATATACTACCAGTTAGCCAAAAGGTATCTTAACCCCTTAAGAGAGGTACTAAGTCCTTCGGGACCTTAGTATTCATGTCTGCCTATGTCTCTAGTTGTCAGATAGCTATCAAATATATAGTCTATATCACCTTCTCTACTATTCTGTTACACTCTGCTGAACTCTCACGTACAGTAGACCTGTAGGAGCTGTGGATCCATCTCTCTACCCCTTCAGACCAACCTACACCCATTACAATGAGAGTCTCACACAAAAGTTAGAACACTGGGAGCACGTAGAGGCATCATGTCTTAGCACGCGGGTGCTCACTGAGCCATGGACTGAGCAGCCTCACCAAAGCAGCAGTACCGAAAAAAAAAGAAGGAAATTCTAGAGCTGTCGCAGAAAAAATGTTCTATATATATACATACTGTACATACATACGTTAGATATCTAAACAATGACAAAAGAAAAAAAATATATATATATATATATAAAAAGCAGGGCTTCATCCATCCCATTCCTTGTGCCTGGCTTATCTATACTAATCTTATTTGCGTATTTATTCCATTTTATTTTATTTAGAGGATGCTGCTGATGATCACGATAATGATCATGATGCCTTAGTCGACGAATTCCTGCCAATGTGCAGCTTGTCTTTGACCTTCTCGAGAGTCCTGGAGGTGGAGGATTTGTTTCTTTTGTGTCCGATGCCGTTGGCATTACTGTTGGGTTTAGCGTTAGAGTTGCTGTTGGAATTAGAGTTCTTGTTGCTGTTGCTGTTACTATTGCTATTGCTGTGGCCGTTTCCGGCATCTTTCGCGTTGGATGATGGTGAACCACTTGGGGAAGCATCGTCTGCGTTCTTGCTGTTGCTGTTATTATTGCTTGGCTTTGTAGATGGTGAGTTGTTTGCATTCGCATCTCCTCCCGTCTTGGTCGTATCTTGTTGCGGGTCTCTTGCCTGTTTCTCGCCCTGCTTCTTCAGCTGCTCATTTGTCTCGCCCACTGGCTGCGAAGCCGCCGTATCTGCTGCTCCTACATCACTGGATGACGCAGGATCGGGCTGCTGGCTGGAGGCAGTGGTCTTGAGGAGATCTGAGCTATTATTGTTTTTGCTGTTTTTGCTATTGCTGTTGTTGTTGCTGCTACTGCTGCCATCGTTTGGGTTGGACGTTCGCTGCTCGACGGGTTCTGATGAGATGCCACCCTCTGCGACTGGGGGAGCGTCTGGCTGAACTATCAAATCAAAAACCCTCAAATCATAAGAACTCAAATTGCTTCTCATCAATCTATGTCACCAGACAAACATACCGTCACGGTTCCCAGCATCATACGGATCTGTAGCTGTCCCCTTCCCAGTGACGCCCGAGATGGGCTCTTCGCCATGCGGCTTGTTGGTTTCGTTGTTGCTTTCCCCCCAGATTGCTCGTTTGCCTGCATCGACGACCTTGTTGACTGTCTCCATACTTACGTGGTACAGCTCTTGATCCACACGCCTCTTGATGACGATGTAGACTGATCAAATGAAGTTCGATGGAAGGCGAGTGTGGATCAAGGTACTAATGATCATTGACACTCAATTCAATCAGCTCAGACAGAGATCAGATTGGGATAGCTTTCCTTTTTAAGAATCCACAGTAGCTTGTTTAGGGCAGCTGGTCTCGTGTCGGTTGCGTCTTGCTTCGGCATGCATCTGGACCTCTACTGATGTCAGGCCGCAGATACACTTCCGCCATCACAACCTGGGGCGAGTAACTGGATGCTGCCATTGGAGGACCAGAAAACAAGGCAAGTCCGTCTTCAAATAAGTTCTCTTCCGTTGACATCTCATCCCAGACAGCACACTCCTGACGTCATGAAGTGGCTGTGTCACGTGATGTGTCAGTACACAGGAGGAAATGCCAGTTGTTGACAACTAGTTGTGATGGACTCGAGATTCTCTGTGTATATGAGATACTATTTATATAGATTAAAAGGTAACAATAGAAAGCAACGCGTGGTTCATGAAGTGCCATAACAGGGCTTGCACACTGACAAAGTGTCAGTTCTGGCGGTAAGAAGCACAGCATGCAGACTGTCAAAAAGAGCGAAAAGAAAGAGCAGGAAGAAAACAAAAAACATGATATAACGATTATGATATAGCCCAGATTTTGCATCAACCGGCAATGCGTAGAGATCAGTTCCACACCTTTGCGCAGCCCCAACCCCAGTAAAGACGGAAAAGCATCATTGGATGATAAGAACAAAGAACAACACACCACAAGGAACAACACAACACAACGCCTTTCTCCCAGATCTTGCAAGTATACTTCTCATGCTCGCCTGGAGCAAAGTCTCAAAAACAAGATGTCCTGTCTGTAGTGGCAGACAGGGCCAGGGCCCATATGGAATACGCCGCTCTAATGACTTCTGCATAGAATGTAGTTGCTATTACTTGCCATCCTTAGAAGGCTCTTTCTCCTTGGCCTTTCTTAATTCTGGATTCAGAGGGTGCTCAGGGTCATATCCCACGCTCTTGACAATACCAAGGCCCTTCGTTTTGCCCTCGCGGAAGAGCACCCGATCACCTGGCGTCAGGAATTCCGGACGCTGGATAAACCGGAAGGCAACCAGGGCGCGATCGCCAGTTCGGATGAAAGCACGGTCGATATCAATAATGGAACAGGTCTGGCTGACAGCGCCGACGTGTAGCATCGCCTGATATCTAGGCCGAATGGTGGTTGCGTGAGAAAGAATGAGAACTGTAATTAATCATATTCAGTGATGAATCATCCAACGGCATGAATAGTAATGTACCTACCTTCAGCAACAAATTCTCGATAGACCTTCGGAGGATTGTCAACTTTCGATAAGACGACCATCCCCTTACGCACCTCTTTTCGCCGCACACGCTTCAACGCGAACGATCCCGATTGTCCTGCCGAGCAGACGTTCACTGGGATCCGCTTCCGTTCGATGGACTTGATCGTCGTCGTGATGAACTGGCCCAACGAGTCCGGCCCGATCTGCACCGTATCACCCGCGTGAATGACCCCGGACTTGACTATGCCCGAGACGACGGTCCCCACGAAAGGGACAGAGAAAGTGTCGTTGACGAGAAACTCGAACGGCGCTTCTGCGTTGTAGTGGCCGTGATGAGGGAGGATATTGAGGAATGTCCGGACGAGGTCGAGGCCCTCGCCAGTGACGTTGGAGACCTGGAAGATGGGACAGATACGTTGGCTGACAAACTGCGTCGCGGTATTGATAGTCTCCTCCATGTCCTTGACGAAGATGGGGATCTTCCGTGCACCCGGCGACTTGAGGATCCGCGTCAGCTGGGTGATGGTCTGCTGCAGAATCTGAGGCGGGCAGATATCAATCTTCGTGATAATGACCATCACCGGCACATTCAGAGCCAAGGCGATCCCTAGATGCTCCTTGCTCATGCCCACCAAGCCATTGTTGGCTGCTACCATCAACAAGCAATAATTAGGGCTGCTGCTCAGCATCCCGAACACCGTGGTCCGGAGATAGCGCTCATGCCCAGCTAGATCGGAGAACGAGATCACCTTGGCAGACTTCTTGCCGATTTCTTCCCAGGACAGCTTGCGGCCCTGCGCACTGCCGACGATCTCACCGCGGGTGTCGAAACCCATGATTTCCATACCGACAGAGCTGGTCCGGCCGCTCTCGACCTCGTGTTTATGGCGGAAGAGGTTGACGCGGGCTTTCCCCCTGCCATCATCCAGGTTTCCCTTCACGAGAACTCCCAGGAGGGTACTCTTGCCCGCATCGACATTACCCACGACCGCAATCCGAGTCTCGATGACCTCTTCCACCCGGCCCGGGACCTGTCGGATCAAAACCTTGCCACATGCTCCCTTCATCTTCTCATTTTTGTTACGCGCCTCCTCTGGTCCGCCCACGTTGTATGTCAACAGGACACGGCAGTGCGCGGGGATGGTGTTGGCCGCCTCCTGTAGCCGCTCCAACGCAGTATTCCACTGAGCAAGATCGAACCCCATCGACTCGCCATTGTCCTCCATCCCCAGGTCAAACACGGTCTCCCCGTGTCCCTCATCTATCCGCGCCTGCACCACACCAGCAAGAAGTTGCAAGCTGTTCTCGCCATCAGGGGACGTGCCCAGTAGCAGATCCTTCAGCTTCGCCGTATTAGGGCCATCTGAGAGACCGAGCTGGTCCAGGATATCGAGTTCAGCATGCTCCTCTGTTACCACAGAAGGGCTAGCCGTCGAGTAACCGCTGTCGCTCGGTGCGACAGACGGATCCTGACCGGAAAAAGCGGAGCGACGCGCCTGCTCCTTTGCAACGTAGTCGGCAAATTCGCTAAGCGCCTGTTCATCGAGTGAGCTCATCAGCCACTTTGCCAGCACATCAAGGACCCCGAGGAACACATACCAACTCGCCTCTCCGCCGCTCCTCGGCGGTTTGCTTAGTCGCCGCCTGCGGCATGATACGATGGTAGATGGTACGGGGGACTCGAGAGCGATTCGGGACTCTTCAGCTGTAATTCGGACGACGGAGGTTCTTGGATCGCCACCGGCGCACTCAGCAGTGTATTCGTACGATCATTATTTTTGCACAAGAGGCGCCAGCAACAATAACGAGGTCAAGACAAGAGCATCAGTCCAGGGGAAGATGATGGATCGCGAAGGCGGAGGGTGACGCCGGGTACTGGGGAAGCTCCGCTTTTATCGATAGGAGAAATCACTTCGACGCTTCCGCCCTGCACAAGGCGCCCCAGATGACTCACTGCACCGCCGCGCTTTATTTCTACCTACAGGCACTGCACACAATCTGCACTTACGACAGGCACACGAAGTACGGCGCGCATTTATTCGCTGCCTTTCTAGGGCACTATTATTATTTGGTTGTCTTCTATCCAGCCACTACCACAATCTGGCAGAAGTATCAATACCCCGTAGCTGTTCCTGACAAGGACTCCCTCGAGGATCAAATAGCTGTATCATGATAATCCAGGTGCTCAAGATCGCTGGAGAAGGCTCATAATTCCCCTGCCATCCTGTTCCGCTCCCCTGGCAGAAACCCAACCGCCCAGTCATCCGTACCGCAACGCTGTCACGATGCTTGTGGAGAGATCAGAACGACTGAGTCACCTAGGATTCATTGGCCGTCAGCACCATGGTCAACAAACACGAGCTACGGGCCCATGCAAAATTCTGACTCACCTCTGACAAAAAGCATCTCTTCTTGCTTCCTGATGGTCTGGGGAATCGTCAGCGCTGGCCCCCCACAGAACGATCGCTGCGATTTGGACGGGAACGAGTCGCTCACCTTCACAGTCTCCTCCCCGGTTTCATCTTCTTCTACCACGTAGATAGTCTCTTCGACGTCGCCCAAAACCAGATTGCAGTGACTGTCGTAGGCCTGCGGACGGGAGGCAAGTTAGTCGACAAATTGCAATCCAAACCGCAGTCAATTCAGGAGGGCTGCCCTACATGGAGGCGTCCTTTCAGCTCACGATCTCCGCGTAGCTTGACAAAGACGATTTCGTCCAGCGAGAGTCGGACCAGGTCCAAGGGCTCGGAGACGGTCGAAGCTCCCCCGGCCTCGGCGTCGGCCATTTTGGGGAGGAAGGAAACCGGAAGGCCTTGGAGTTAAGGCAGATCGACAGTGGCAGACACACCGTTCACCGCAGGTAGACCATGCAGCCTGGAAGAGAGCGAAGGAGCGTGGAATGGACGTGATGCCCCCGCCGTGGTCGCGACGTCGAGCTCCGAGTTGCGGGTCGGCAACCCGGACAAGGCGTGAAGGCGCCAAGACCGTGCGAAAATGCCTCCCGACTCCGGTCGCGTCCAAACCCACACGTTGCAAACACTGGAATTCTCCACTTCAGGGGAGTCCACACCGCAACCACGAGCCCTCGATGCGGGTCTGCGCGCTTCGCGGTGAGGCTCTACGCCCTCACTTGATCTGCTCCACACGCCGTCAACAAATTTCCTCCGAACACGCGCTCAATGGCCCCCGTTTCGCGCCTTTTTGGGCTTCCCCTCGAGGCTCCCGCACCTTTGCGTCGGAGACTGAGCCATCTCAGACGTCCAAATACCCTGCTTATTGGAGATGGCGGCTTCCACGGTCAGAGAGGATCCAGGGCTTTACCTCGACCCTAGGCACGTCGCCGCCCTCGAGCTCGACACGTGTCTTGGACGGAGAGAACGCACCGGCCGATGACCACGGCGAGGACCAGGAACTACAAAAGAAGAAGGCGACGCTGTACAAGATCCTTCGCGATGGACAGCCAGAGCAAGTGATGAGGACCATGCGGGATCCAGAATACCGCGAGGTTGTCGGATCCCTGCCTGCGAGCGCATTTGTCAGTGCTTTCCTCCTGCTAACCCCCGAATACTTTATCGAGCCATACCGAACGATCCACAAGCCGCTACACCCTTACGTCGTAGAGCTCAAGGGCTACAAACCGCTGGAAGACATCTTTTCCGAGTTCGCGAGCGGTCTTGCGGCAATCGTGGGAGCGAGACGGAGCGCGGGCCGCAGTCTTGGTCTCGCCGAGTACCTCCATCTGCTGCGTTGTGCGGCATCCATGGGCGATGGTCCCATGGCGGATGTCGTCTGGGAGGAAATGAAGTCGGAGGATGTGGTACCGGACATCCGATGTTACAACTACTATCTGGAAGCGAAGATCTGGGACAACGCCTATACTGCGTTGGAGAAACATCGCTTACGGGTCTCTCCTTTCTACTATCGAAAGAGAAGATTCGAGGCTCCACCGCCGGGCTTTGAAGGATTTGGAACGGCAGGAAGAAGTGTGAGAAAACAGGTCCTCCAGATTTTCCAAGAGATGACGGATCGAGGCATCAATGGCGACCAAACGTGTTTTATCAACATTTTCCTAGCCTGTGCCCGGGTCGGTCATGTGCGAGGAATGAAGTCAATCCTGAAGACGGTTTGGAATGTCGATGTGGATCTACTGGGACAGGGTGAGAGCGAACACCCCCCGGTTACCCGCTACGATCCCTCATCGTCGTTGTACCCGTCCAGTGAGTTACTCTTTGCGATTGCTCATGGGTTTGGCGTCAATACCGACATGGCTGCTGCGCTGCGAACAATCGACTTCGTGTCGCGCCAATACAACATCAACGTTCCGGAAAAAGTGTGGCTGGAATTGTTCGATCGGGCCTTTGTTCTCTCGAGGAGGCGCTTTGGGCCAGACCGTGACCGAGACTTGAGGGGCGCAGTACCGATGGATCTAGTGGTTGGGATTTTCGAGTTGATGACATCCGAGCCGTACAACGTGCGTCCACCGATGGAAGTGTACCGCATGCTCGGGAGGATTGCTTACGACAGGGATCGACTGAGGGCCTTCCGATCTTACATGGACGACGCTTACAACTTGCTTCGAGAAACGAGGCAGAAACGGAAGGAGGCCAGACGCGTCGTGGAACGATATCTGGGCGAGCCATTTTCACCAAAATCCGAATCGAATCCTCCACGTGAGATTCCCGAATCTGTACTGCAGTCGGCAGCATTTACGGAGGCGGTGAACAGATATGAGATGCTGCGGTTGTTGGTCGCTCAACAGACGCACCTTATGGAACGCATGGCGAAACTGCTTATGACCAATGACCGCTGGACGGGGCGAGACAATCCGGATTGGGAACGTCGCCTGCTCCCGACTTTCATCAGTGAATGGCGGGATTTTATCCCGAGAAGTTTATATTTCAACATCACTGGGAAGAACGGTGGTCGGGTCGAGATCCAGGGCGAGACGTGCTGGGGGCAGCGACACATCCGGCCTCACGACAAGGTGCCGGTTCGCTGGTCCCCGGACGGCGAGCGGCCGGCGTACGACGAGGAGATCGAAGTCGACGACGATTTTCACTGGGAAAGGTTCCGCATGTCTCTCGGGGAGGAGTTCGCGAACCGGGAGCCTCTCAAGCGGCTGTTCTGGAAGACAATCGAACAGAAAGAGCACTCCATGCTTTACGAGACGGCGATGGAAGAAGACATGGAGCCGGGCACGCACCCGGATGCGGTAGGCGCTCAGGAGTCTTCACAACATGGCGACTTTGATGTGATCTTGCAACCGATAATGAAGCTATCCTTGACATGAGTTAATGAGTTGGTCTGGATTGACACGGTCTTGTTTGTTGTTTTTTCAGTCAATGACTTTGGTTTCTTTTCTTCTCTCTTTTTTTTTTCTGATTTTTTCCCCCAATGTTCAGCATTGCTTCTGCTGCTACATGTAAATACATACGATACGATCGATGGATATATCCCCCTGGAGTTTTCTTACTTCCCCCCCTTGTCTTGCAGTATATGTTATTGTTGTTTTTCTTTTTCTTGATACCAATTCGATACCATGCCATTAAGGCGTTCAATTATTCAGTATACTGACTGACGTAGTAAGTAATTGCCGGAAAGAAATGCCGCTGTAGAGAGAAAGAGAAATTCTCGTAGCAGTTCGAGGTCGTTAGTATCTACAGAGTACAGAGGATTGTTATTATTACCTCGTGCTGCAAAAACATAAGGTAGTTAGCTAGATAGCTAAGACAGGTATGTACTGTACAGTACATGCAGGTCAGTTATGTATGTCCTCAGGTTAATTGGGTGAGAACTGAAGGGGGTCGTTTCTATATTCCTGTATTTACAAGATGAATGTTCTGATTTATTGGACATGTTCTCTGTCATCGATCTCATCTCAGTTTCGTTCTGCGCAGATATTATGCATTATGTATAGAATTCATGATCATTTATGGTATGTATTGTCCAGTTATATCTTCTCTCGTTTCAGGTCGTTCACTACCATGTACCGCCCGATGGTGATCCAGCCCCATCGGAACCAGACCATCTGGCTCTTGTGGCCTTGGGTCATCGCACTGCGAGCTCTCAGCCACTCGTTGACGGTGTTGACGAAGAGCAGTCTGTTCGGCGGGCCCCGGCCCTTCTTAGAGGGTGCCCTGCCCGTCGTCGTCACCTCGCGGAGGTTGCTCAGCGCGCCCAGGAGCATCGTCACGGGCGCATCGAGGACACCCGAGTATTTGCGGAGGATGTTCGTGCTCGTGAGGGTGTACAGCGCCACGGGGCACGAGTACCCGCTCTTGCCTTTCATCAGCGCCCGCAGGAAAGCGACTGCGCCGTGGTACAAGGATCGGTGGTTGGGGTGGTTACTGATGCCATGTTGGTCAAAGGTCAAGATCACATCGATGGTCGCGTTAGGGGGCCCATCGGCACTGCCGTTTTGTTTTGGTCTAGTTGCATTTCCAGACGACGACAATGAGGCAGCGAGGTCGGGCGCAAAGGCGGACGCGAGGAGGGTGGAGATGTCGGTGGCAGACCAGGTCGTGGTCATACTGTCAGGGAAGCGGGAGGGATCGTCGACGACAAACACGTCGGACTCTTGCCGGAGTCCGAGACGAACAGCGCTCTTCTCGAGCTCTTTGCGGCGGATATGGCCCAGGCCATCTGCGTTGCCTGTCGTCTGTCAACAAAAAAACCCCCCCAGGACAATGATTTCTTCGGACTGTTTCACCAACTAGGGTCTGCATACCCGTACTCAGACACAGAATTTTGACATGATTCCCCAACTCGGGCTTGGTCAGCGCCAGCAGAGTCGGCGCAAAGAACATGGCCTCATCGTCCGGATGCGCAATCACCAGACATATCCGTTTGTTGTACAGCTTGGGAAACGAGCCTGTGAAGGGCGACCCAGAGGTGGAGGAGAGCGTCCAGAAGATCGCGAAAGCCACCGGAGCAATGAAAGCGAGAGCGATCCACGAGTAGGAGCTTGACATGGCGAGATTCTGTCGCGAGAAGAAATCACGAACGTGTGACACCTCCGGATGCTCCCCTCCGCGCGTCGAACACTTCCGTCTCTCCGAATTCGATTGTGTCAATGGCACGGAGCGCTTTCTATTCTCTTCTTGTCGCTATCGACAACGCGCCAACTATTCACGAGAAAGAACACAGCAGTCGCAGTCTCGAATGTTTAACGCAAGTACAACGTGGTGGAGCGGAGCAGTCACACATCCGCGCGGCTCGCCGCGACGCCCGGAACCTCCGCGGTTAGAATCAATTGCTCAATGGCTGGTCGGGCCAGGCCGCATGGGCGAGATTCAGAGATTTCGTAGCTATCGCAAAGCGCAACTGAAGCAGGAAATTGACAATGGAGCAAAAAGGAAACGTGGCATCACGGAATGGCGGGAGTTCAATTGAAAAGGGGGAGGGGCCGTCAAATGAAGCTTTGGTTGGACGATAAACTTGCAGATCCGGGGAGTTGCGGAGATCTACAGTCACGTGACTGTATAGTAAATAGGATGGTGTATATCCAAGAGAGATGTTTGATCAAAAGAGACCCTTCTAGCGTAATTTGGGATAGATTTCTTGTTGTACTTCATGATTCAAACTTTTGGGGCAAATTTCAATCGCAATTGCTTTCGCTGACTTAGGACAGTGTAAGGACACTGATCTATGAGTTGCGAAATGTCTATTTCTCTATTATAACCAGTATAAGATATAAAATACCCGATATTCTAAGAAGCAATAAGCAGACAAACTACACAATTGCGCATTTTATTCAGCAGCATCATATAAAAGGTGCTATATCCCATAGACTAGACTGATCGTAGAAAGTTTGAATGCACTGGGTGTCAAGGACATGAAATTGGAGACGTTGGAGAATCTGGGATCAGCCTTGCATATCAATTTCTTTTTTTTTCTTAAATAGAAGTACTAGAGGCTCCAACCTCTACCAATTATCTCGCAAAATAAATCAAAACAAAACCTTAGCTATGTCTCCTTTATCCTAATGAGCCATAGTTAGAGGCCATCCACTCGTCCTACGATACAAAATAAAAGCAATGATTATTCCCAGTGAAGTACAGTGGTTAGTCATCGATATTCTATTCTGATAGTAAGTAAATATCATCTAGTACAGAGTATGTACTCTTTCACCTTCAATAGAGAAATAGCAGCCCAAACTAAAGCAAGCATATATCATTTACTCAGGGTGGACAATGACAGAGGGTTACGCAGATTTCTGCTCCATTGATCTGAATACAGATGTAGCCAGGTACGAGTGCCGTCTGCAATCCCTTCATGTAACGTATTTCCCGGCTGTTTCGATCACCCGGTTGCTCCGATCACTAGAATACCCATACAAAATGCGTTTTTTTGTACGCTCATATCTCAACAAGCTTTAAAGATATTAAAGAGATATTTTATATACTATAATTATAAAGTATTTACAGCATACAGCATTAATCAGAAGTAGTCTACTCTATTATTTACTGGAATAATATAAAATACAGTGTAATTTTTATGTAAAATTAAAAATAGGTATCTAAAAAGCAATATATATAATATTAACCTTATATTTCTCTTACAAGTAGTTATACCTATATATAATCTGATTTTAAAATTAAAGGCCAGGATATAATATAGACATTGT